CCATATGTGGTCAATTGTGCATATTAGATTTTCTTCTTGTTTTGCAGTATTATTTCACAAAAAGAAACACTCTTGGAAGTTAGCACTCTCCTTGCTCTAAAGGTGCAGAAGCCACCCAGAGCCAAGTAGCAAAACTGCTGCAAGACAAGGAATCAGGCTTACAACTTGGGATTTTTCCACTTCTGTGCTTGTTCCTCTGGAATTTTTTGCAGCCCTGTGAGACTTGTCTGCCTTCTCTCTTTCAGCAAGTTCCTAATGCTCACAAGGACTGGGTTTGTGCTCTTGGCCTGGTGCCCGGTGTGCCGGTTCTGCTCAGCGGCTGCAGGGGAGGCACCCTCAAGCTCTGGAACGTGGATACCTTTGCACCCATCGGGGAGATGAAGGGACATGACAGCCCTATAAATGCCATCTGCACCAACTCCAGCCAGATTTTCACAGCAGCAGAGTGAGTTCTTCTCCATGAATCTTTATTTTCTGTGTCTCCTGCTAGAATTCTGTCCATGCACATGAGTTTAAGACATGTAACTCACTTCATAGAAAGCATCAGGAGACCTTGTCCAGTCCATGCCCCTCAGTGCTAATATCTATTACAGCTATCCCAAAGTGGGGTGCTTGCACCCCAGAGGATGCACAACATGACCCAGTGGGGTGCTGGAATAAATGATCAGAACTCAGTAGTATGTGTTTATAATTAATAAATATACACAGCAGTGTGGGCTTAAAAAAATTTTAGTGGTAGGGGTGCATGATCAAAACAAGTTTGGGAACCACTGATCTACAGGATGACAGGGACAATTTGGCAGTACTTGAGAATTTTATAAGCTTGTCTCTACAGCTGGATTATTTCCTGGTATGACTCATTCTTCACCTGTGCAAATTCTCCTAAAAGCCATGGCTCATGGCTGTTGGTTTGTGGTTGGTTTGTTTTTAAGTGCTGGCATACAGCACTTGCAAGAAGCTTTGCAAGCCATCCTGCTGTCCTGTAAACACCTTGGTTTGAATATTTGTTTGCCAGTAAAAACGAGCAAATTGAGGACCTGAAACCTCAGGGGAATTGACCAAGAAAAGTACCTTGTTGTGGAGAATATGCAGGAGGTGGTGACAGAGCCTCTTTGTGGTGTAGTCTGAGCACAGGAGCTGTGAAAGCTGACGTGTTACATTCTTGTGCCAATTGTGGAAGCTTCTGGCCTTCTGAATTACAAGCAGGTCTTTCTGAATCATAGCAGGATTTCAAAGTTGCCACGTTTTCGTATTTGGTCAGGTTTTATGTTCAAGCACTAATAGGTAGGGGTAGAGATGTCAAAGCTTCTGTCTCTGTTTGCCTAAAGATTATTAATCCATTTAGAACATACATCCATCTGAAATACATTCTTTTTTGCTATAGAAAAAAAAATTTTGGTATTTCTAGCAGTGGGCTTAAGGTCTAAAAAATTTAGATGGTTCCTAACAATTAACAGTAAAATGAAGGCACAAGTCAGAAAACACTTTTAACTGTCACGAAGTCTGCTCTGCCTGCTGGTTTCTTTTGAGAGGTTGTGAGGAATATATGAATCAGTGTTGGCTAGTCACTCAATTTAATGTTTATGAGAAATTCATAACTTCCCTTTCATGGAATAAATTGCTATTTAACAAGACTAACACTTCATTTTACTTCTGAATTATAACAGAGTTTTGTAACACATTTTATGTGATATTTTATTTACACATACTTTAAAATTGTGTAAATAGTGATTTTCTTTCCAAAAATACATAACTAGAGTCTGGGCTTCCAAGCACCAGCTCACTGGCATGTGCTATCTAGCGTCTTGCAAATGGGTTTGGGTTTGTTGGGTATTTTTTGTTGGAGAGTTAGGACTTCGAATTGTCTTGTGGTTTTGTGCTTTTTTAACTTTTTCTTATGATAGACTGACACCACTTTCCTTAGGCATAAAGTCTTTATACATTCTTAGATGGCTAAAGGTCATAGCCAGTGCTGTGATAAGGTTAGGGAATCTTCAGTGTTGTACATGTTAAATTACGAAGTCTCGTGGAGGTGGAGTAACCTTTGCGTGTCCATTAAAGAGTTGTTATTTTGCCAACAATACCTCAATAAGACACTCAAGCTTTTAAGGAAACCTCCCCTGCCCGCCCTCTCTCCCTCCCCAGTGTAACCACAGTGCTCTAACACTGCTTTGTTTTGGTTTTCAGTGATCGCACTGTGAGGATCTGGAAAGCTCGAAATGTAATAGATGGACAGATCTCAGATACAGGAGATGCAAATGAAGATCTTGCCAGTAATTGAAATTACAGGGGATAAAGGAATACATTGATAAATTTGAGGTGCACTCTATGCAGTTCGCTGCATGTCTGTTAGTTAAACACTGATGACTGGAATGGACTGAAAATGCGTGAACTCTTCCACTAGACCTGCTGTCCTTAAAATATGTACTGTATTTAATAACCTCTTGGTAACATGCTTGAGTCTCAACAGTCACGTGTATCTCTACATATTATGGCTGAATTTGTGTGCATATGTAATACTCACAGTTTAAATTAACGGGAATTCAGTCTTCTCTAATGACCATCTCAAAATTATAACCTGAAATATATAACAAAAGTGCTCTGCTGTATTTCACTCACAAGTATGATCAGCTGTTTTGCATTTTAGGGTAACAGGGGAAGGAACGTGTCCCAGGAATAAGCCTTTGATTATGAGAGGCAGTTTGAAGATTTTAAAGGTCACTTACACTGTTGTTAGGAAAGTGGAGTGAATAATAGATGGGAAGAAGCTGTTAACGATACATCTACCTGACATGGCTGTATCCTGCTAACAGCAAATGCCATATGATTTGTGTGTTGATAGCTTATAATCTGTGTTGACCAAAGTTGTGCAGCTGTGTATACTCTGTGCTCAGGACTAGAACTCAAATGCCCACAAATGGCTATGTTTTATTTGTGTTTTGCCTATGTTCTGCAATGACTAGATGTTCAAAATGTCATGATAAATATATCTTAATCTATTTTTCTTACGGATTTGTTTCTATCATCTCACATTTTCTTTTTTTTAAGCAAATTGTCTTTCCTTTTTATCTAATTTTATATGCTGCTAAATGTATTTTAAATACACTGTTTTGCAAACCTTGGCAGTTACTTTGAGAACTGAACCACGTTTATTGGGAAAAGCTATGTAAATAGATGGTTGTATAAAGAAAATATCTTGTGCCTGTATGACTTTTAAAGCTCTTTGAACCTGGATATTGAGGGAGGATGTATAATTTACCCAACTGCTCTGAATATTAATTTGTAAATTCTGCAAATTTTAAAATTTTATGTAGATTCAGAAACAGTGTTTGGATATTGAGGTTTTTTGGTTGTTTTGTTTTTATTTTTCAGAAAATATCAGTCTGTAAATTATAGCTTGTGTAGTTAACAAATAAAGATGTGAATGTGAACTGCTTTTTTGCCTTGTTCATCATACTTCCTTATAAAAAATTCATTTCCTTTGCAAAGGTGTTGCATATAAAACCCATGGTTTTACACAGTGCAGTAGAGTAGCTTGGTGAGCACTACAGCCTGTATATCCCATCGTATCCCATGTCTGTGTTCTCCTTGGCCATTATTTGTGTTTTTGTAGTACTTAGGAACCCTAGGGGGATTCCCTCACACTTAGTACAGTACAGACATAAAATGAAGCAGGTGACTCCTGTTCCTACGAGATGACACCTCTCTTACCTTGTTGCATATGGTCTGTCAAATAAGGAAAAGTGCTGATGCCTCTTACTGAACTTGGAGGAATTACTTCCTTCTCTGCTCAGCTTGAAAGGAGATGAAAATACTGCTTGAAATTTGAGGTTACCAATGTATTCCAAGTTTTAATAGAAACAGGTGATGAATGATACATATTGTTAAAAAACAATGTATAAATTAGTTAAAATAAGCAGCAGCACTACCACTCAGTGTTTGTCTATCATGCTTTTTAGCTACTCAAAGGGTATACACACAAATGATTTGGGACTATGTGACAGCCTTGAGCAAATTCCAGTGGAGAGTGGATTTACATGCAATACTTAACATGAGAGGCTTTTTGTGCCTGGTGGAGGGTCCCCATTCCCCTTGGCCCAGCAGATGTTCTGCCAAGCTACACAAATGATACCAACAGCTTGGTGACCCCTGCTTTTGGGGCTGGACACTCATGGCTGTGTGTGCAAGATTCATGTGAATGTTGTGTTTTGTGACTGCAGGACACAGGCCCTTGCAGACCTGGGAAAAGCCTGCTTCTGTCCAGCTGCTCGACTGACGCACCACATGGGGCTGCGTGGCCCTGACCTGAGCTGCAGATGTTCCTCTCCAGTGATGCCTGGCAGTGCAGATATTTTGTTTGGCTTATCTCCTGATAGGCACTAATGTTATTTAATGTATTCCTAAAAAATACCTCCTTTTAATTTTTTTTTTCTTCCAGAAAGATATTCCACCTAAACCAGGTATTACCATAGAACAGAGCTTTCACACTTTTGCTCTGAAAGTTCTTGCCATCAAGTAATTGGAAGAAAAGTGTCATTTTGTAAAGGTCACATTATCACTGTCTTGTCTTAATGGAGAATTATTTGACTGTTTGTTTATCTCCAAACTTCATCTGTGCTGTAAACCCATATATGTGACAAAAGATAATATGAAATCAGAGAAAGGTAAGCACTAGACTCCCACTGTCTGAACATGTTTGTGTCAAAAAAAACCAAAGGTTGTCTCTGAAAAATTAATTTTCTAAGAAGTCACAAAAGAATCACGTTTTCCTCTCAAAGTTGGACTTCAGAAGTTGAGCAAAGCGTGTGGAAAAATTAGACTGTATCTCACCTTATCTGCTTAGATACAGGCAAGGTCATGTGTTACAAATAATCTCATTAAAGATACGAATGCGGAGAACATATTTGCAATGCTTCTGATTGTGTATTAGAACAAGTGCTTATCGTGCCCCTGCCTTGTATAAAAGGCTTCAGACTGCCTGCAGAAGTCCTCCTTCAACCATGGCAAGGATGAGGAGCCTGTGTTTCTTGGCTGTTGTGCTTGCAGGTAAGTACACCACATTTGTATTTTGTCCTAGGCTTCAAAAGCAAAATATAAATGTGCTAAGGAGAGAAGAGCTGTTAAAAGAAATTACTGTTTTCCATGGAAAAGGAGAGAACAGGCATGGCACTGGCTCCACCTGAGGTGACTGTGGGAGGACAGCAGAGCTGACTTGTTTAGAAATATGCCCCAGTCCTGCAGTGTAGTCAGCACCAGCATAGTCAAAAGGGATCAGTGGTATCATTCAGCTCCTGAAAGTTACCTATTGCTTTGTTAGTTTTTCTTCTGTAATTTTTACTCCAGCATACCAGAGGTTAATTTGGTCCAGAGCATAGTAAAGGGAGTATACATATTATTTTGTTGCTGGAGAATGGAACCTCTGCAGCAAATGCCTTTGAAATATACAAGTGAACCTAAAATGTAAATATTAATACTGTTAAATTAAAATCTGTGTGGTAATACTTCAGTTCCTTCCTTATACCTTAATTTTAATCTAATTTTTCAAAATTAAAGTGAAGGTTTTTAAAAATCAATGAGGATTATTTTTCACCTATATCTTTCCAGCTGCCTTGCTTTAGCTTCTGTTCCCATGGAAATTATCATGGAAAAGCAGCAAGTAGCCATAGCTGTTGCTATATATTCAACTGCTTGTTTGGATTTCATCTTCTTTGTATGTTTACAGACATGGGCTGTAAATACAGTGAAAATTATGGTTTTACAATTCTCCTTCCCTACTTTTAAAAATAATTTTATCTTCCCACTTGCTGCTATCACATTTGTACTGCAATAGAAGTAAATCCAGGAACAAGGGATGAACAAGGTTGCAGCCTTATCCAGCTGCTCACACCTGCAAGTCTTAGTTTTTAAAGTTTGCTGGAAAATGTAAGCTTTGCATTAATGGGAGAAAAAATGGAAGAAATTTCTTGGCTCCTGCTGGGGGAATGTTTTTTTCCATTGAACTAGCTTTTTCATTCACAATATCATTCATAAGAAGTATTTTGAAAGTATTTTACAATACAAATTAATTCATAAAAGTCTCCCACAAACCTATCCTGTGTAAAATGACACCACAATAATAATCTGCTGTAGTCTGTTCAGTCATACTCTTCTTGATTTCAGCAATGAAAACGCTGATGCTGCATTTGACTCTCACTAGGAAACACACCCCAGACCAAAATGAAATGTGATAGGTTTTGTTTATTTTGTTGTCCAAGAAAAAAAAATTGCAGGATTGCAGAAGGATGCTCATATTCCTATTACGCTTTGGATGAAAAAGAGGATAAGAATTTATAGCTTTTCTATGTGACCTATCACGAGTGGTGAATGTTGAACAGAGAGCAGTCAGCCTGTGGGACCTGACTCTTCTGCCCCAGAAAACAGAGGTGGAAACCAACCCTGCCTGCCCAGCAGCTGGCAAAGGTTAACAGCCAGATAATTCCTGTTAATTCCAGCCTCAAGAAGATGATAATGAGGCACTGTGGCAGCGAGCAGTGAGTTCTGCAGAGCAGCCTGGGAGTATCAGACCTGAGTGTCAGATGTTCCTGTCTAAAAGGGGCATGAGAGTTTTCTCAAGAAAATGTAGGTGGCACTCCTGCTTTTCTGTGTTCATATTCCCCACTTGGAAATCAACTCTGGCATTGCAGCATGATGGCATTCTCTAGCAAAAATCTAGTATTTCGTTCTGTAAATTTCCCAGTATACATAATTACTGCTTGTGCACATCTGCTTGTAGAATTCTTTCTGTGGAGAAGCCCAGACTGCATCAGCAATCATGTTTTAGGGTTTCAAGCACACAACAGTCCACATAAAAAAAAAAAAAAAAAAAAAAAAAAAAAACCACACAAAAAAAAAAAAACCAACCAAAAAATGAAAGCAGAGGTATTAGTCATTTTGCAGAAAAGGGCAATTATCGTTCAAGTAGATTTAATCTTGGAATATTGCTGTAATGACTAAAATGACATAAATTAACTTCAGAATAAGTATGCTGCCTGTGATATGCCTGCTCTCTCTGAGAATATTTACCAACAGCAGTTTGTCAGCACAGCAGGAGCTGGTCTTGTGGTCCCCCTGCTCTTCGGAGGCTCTCAACCAGAGGGCTTGACTTGTACCTGTAAAAAGGGAAAATTTAGCACCTAACAGGTTTTTTTTCATGACGATTCTGTGAATGACTAATATATACCTTTTCTTTTACTGCTGGCATCTTCCCTTTACTCATAACCATATCTGTATTAACACAAACTACTAACACTGTGTAGATACAGTTGTCATACAATGCAGAAAAGAAACCCCACATGAACATATACTCACTATTTTTCTATTTATACCATACAAGTGAATGCTGCTTGTCACATATTTGAATCTCTATAGATAGAAAACATCTGTGTATAACATAATTATACAGAAAATGTAACCTTTTCATATTGATAGCAGCCCTTATTGAAGACTCCCTCCTGTTCTGCCAGCCTGCAGCGTTGCCCTCACGCCTCACCAGCAGCTTCATTACGCTGCTATTTAACTTTCTATGAGTATTTCAAGCAAGTCGTGCTTCAGCTGAGCACAGGCAGCTCCGAGTGCAGAACAATGCAGACCCACTGCCTCGCCTTGTAAAAGAAAGTGCTTGCTGCTCTTGCTCCGCAATGAGCACACAGCTGCTCGCCCGTCATCTCAGTCCAAGGGATAACGGGTACTAGCCCTGGGATGGGGAGAAAGCACATCCAAAAAAAAGAATAGCTGAAGTTTGCGGTGCTGTGTGGTTTTCTAACGCGGTTCCCGGCTGCTCTGACGGCTTTTCCCGCATGCAGCCCTAGGCGGGTGCCTGGGCTCGGAGCAGGACGCGCAGTGCCCCGGCGCCATCGCGGTGCAGAAGCGCATTGACTGCCACCCGCAGCCCGGCGCTTCCCAGGAGGCCTGCGAGGCGCGGGGCTGCACCTGGTGCTCCAGCGATGTGCCCAACGCTCCCTGGTGCTTCTTCCCCGAGAACAGTCCCTACGGCTACGCCCGCAGTGGGAACGCCGAGCAGACCGACAAGGGCTGGAGGTGAGTGCGTGTGGCTCCCCGGGCGCTGCAGGCCGGCACTGCCCCGCGGCCGCCGCTGCCGCCCCGGGCACTCTCGCCAAAAACATTCCCGCAGCTGCTCCGATACACATGTGACAAGGAGGGAAAGGGACACCTTTCCCCGTGTGTGTGCCGTAGAACTGGGGCTTGTGCTCTCACCACGCCTCAGGTGAGGGAACCAGGTGCGGGTGCAGAGTGGTCCCTCCCACCTAGGAGCTGTGCCTCAGGAAACTACCAGGTCTCCTTTCTTTGGGGGCCTCTATTTTATCCATTAACATCAAGGAGGGCCTAAACTGACCTCAGGGATTATTTCTCTCAGCAAGTCAATGATTTATTTTTAAAGAGCTGACACAGAGTAGCTGGGTGGTTCCCCTGGCCTGCCCCAGGGTGGTCTCAGGCAGTGGTCACTCGCGGTGGGCACCAGCATGTGTTCCACTGCAGAGTCACGCTGAACAAGCGCCAGGCCTTGTCCCTCTTCGGAAGTGACATTTCCCCGATCGTCTTGGAAGTGGAGTTCCAGACAAAGGACAGACTCCGGTTCAGGGTGAGTATCTGGGGGGTTGGAATCATTTAGCCAAAGCAACACATGCTAAGGAGTGAGCTGACCTGCCCCCTGCTCGCCTTGCTTTAGCTCTACGACCCCAACGCGCAGCGGTTTGAAGTCCCACTCAAGATCAATGGCCCCGGGGTTACCGCTGAGGAAGCCAACTATGAGGTGGAGTTCTCGGATGATTCCACACACTTCACGATCAAGAGGAAAAGCACTGGCACCGTGCTGTGAGTACTACACATGATTCATATTGCTTTTTGTAAAAGTTAGGTGTGATGGGGTCAGCACTCTTTCCTTACACCCTATTTCTTGCGTCTGTGGTACAAGGGGTCAAAGGATGTGGTGCAGATTTATGCCTTGTCCCTGAACGACTTTCATTATTAATGGGGGTATGTGCCTGTATAACAGACAATTATCTATGTGCATGTATAAAAGTTTATTCAATAAACCTTCTGAGGCTACAATTTCATGGCTTGTCATGCTGGTAAACTCAACTCATCAAAGCACTGAGCTAAGATTTCTGAAATCTGAGGTGTCAGGATCTAAGCAGCAGATCTCCTGACACTCTCCAGCAGGCAAGTCTAGGAAGCTCAAAGCAATGGAGGCTGTAAGCCTCTGATTTCTACTGATATCAGTGAATGGCACTGGCTCTAGTTTGTTCCTCTGCAAAAATATAATTTGTTTTCTCAAGCTAGTACTGTAAGTTTAACTTCAGTAAAAGCTCCTCTCACTAACAAATGTCACCAGGTGTCATAATTTCCTTTTTCCTTGGCTTCCATCACCATATCTCTAGTACATAATGCTACTTAGAAAGAGAGTCCCAATCAAGGTGCATTCCTGCCAGCTGCTTTTGGGAATGCAGCAGTGAGCAATTTAAGGATGGCTTAACATGAGTGATGCAAATAAGACAATACAGCTTCTAGAATGGTCTGCAGATGGAGCCATCATGCTGGGTTTTTAATGAGCTGACCATCCTTTTGAACTACAGTCTCATAGCATCTCTTTATACATGTCACAGTCAATTCTGTAAAGTCTTATTTATGTAGGCTATTTTAAATGAATGCATTATGCCTTACTCTGATAACAAAAATAATTTAATTTCTCATTAGACTTAACAGCTCTGTGTAAACAGTGGTCTTTTGTTAAAGGCCCAGTTTTCTACTTCTTTCTATAAAGACTTCTTAATTGGAATGCTGATGTAAGGGGTGAATGCATAACAAGAGGCTAGCTCATGGCCCATTCTCATTCAGCCCTCCTCACCTTCACCCAGACCCCAAGGGTTTAGCCTGGGTTGATCAAACTTGAGATGTCCCAGCAGTGGGGAGGGGCCTGCTGTGGAGCAGATGCAGGATCTGCTAAAGGCACGACTGCGGTGACAGGCAGAGGAGCACAAGTCGGTCCCCACTGAGAAGGTTTCCAGGAGGGCACATCCAGTGCCCTGCTGTGGGCCTGGGGAAGCCTCCTCCATTCCCCTCCATCTCTTTGTGCACCAAGGCCCGTGCCCAGCAGCAGCAGAGGTGTGGGCTGCAGCCGTGCTGTGCTGCAGAGCCCAGGGAGGCAGAGGGCAGCCTTGGTTTGCAGCACCAGCTCAGCATCAGTGATGCTCTGCTCTCCAGCATCCTGTGGGAAATTGTACACTGCCTCCAGGCAGGTAAAGGAGTGCTCCTGAAACTCAGCTAAGCCCAAAAAGAGGAAATTGTGGGTAAATATAATGCACAAATAATGGACTTCTATCCAGCAAGCAGTGGCAAGGCTGCTCCCAAAATATTGTCACCAGCAGAGACACAGGATTTTGTGTACAGAAAGGGAAATCTTATGTTCTTGGGAATTCTTGTTTCATGTGAAATGGCACAGCCAGTACTGTAGTCTAAAGGATCCTGTCAGGAAGCCATTCCTCTCACAGCTTGAATGATATTTAGTTTAGTTATATTCCCTGTGTGAGGAGCAAAAATGCTTCCCCTTCATTTGTTTGCCTGTCCATCCTGTCAGAGTGAGGAAATGCAGGTGCTCAGAGATAGCTCCACAGCCTGTCTTAGAGGGATTTGCAATCTCCTTAGCTACCAAAAGAGCTGTGCAGATGGAATCTTTCAAAACAGGAAAGCAGGTTATATATCCTGGCCTAAAATATATGGTTGGCTGCATTTACTTTACTGAAGGATGAGCCCTCAGCAGTCAGCATTATAGGAACATTCCCATCAGTGGCTGCACTTGACTGGCTGGGTCCAGGGGTGCACTGGTGGCATCTGGCAGGTTAAGTAGATTTTCGTGTTAGTTCAACGTGCCCAAAGGCAGGTTTGAATGCTACAACACAAATCTTTTCCTTTGGGTTCCCTCCAGAAGTGGGAGCAGCTGCTCCAGAGCACCCAGGCACCAAGCTGCATGGCTGGTGGTGTCTGTGCCTGGGCCAGGTTAGGGCAGGCTGTGTGGGAGAGTGTCCCTGAGAAACAGGCAAGTTCCTGACACCTGGAGAGACTTTAGCCTCCTGTTTTAAGATGTGAACAGCCATGGCCTTACTGTGTCGATGAACAGCTGAATCAATTGTTGATTTCTATATGCACACAAACACTGCTCAGAACAGTCAATGTGGGCAAATAAAACCTTTTCAACAGATGCTGCAGTTGCACTCCCCAGGTGTGGGTAGATAATAACTTGAATCTGCACCAAACCAGGTCAGGGTTCTCTCCTGGACCTTTTAAATATCTCTGAGGAAAACTTTCCCATAGTAAAGCAATTACAGATCCTCAGAAATCTGCTTTTCCTTATGCTTCTTATCCCTTGCTAGCAGAGCCATGCTGCTGGATGACTTACCCCCCAAGAAAGCCTAAATTCATGATGCTCAGCATGCTCTTGCACAGGTGACAGTCCACCTGGGAAGGAAGCAGCCTGTCCCAAGCAGAAACACAGTGGAGGTTTGGGTTGCTGTTTCAAAGCCCACACCTGTATTTCCCTGTAGTCTATCCTGCCATCCATGCCTTTGTGCAGGAAGCAATGGGGTGTCAAACTCCTGTCTGTCTGCTTGATAGGAAACCCCATCCCCACTCTGGCACTCCTGTGCACAAAGCCTCTTCCTTGTGAGGAATGATTTCATTCCACATTAGAAATCCTGCAGGGGAGAGGCAGAGGAGGCTTTGAGTGTGCTTTATGGGCGTTTCTCACACTCTCTGCATGCAGGGAGACCTAGCTGAGCTACCCAAGGAGGGCAGGACAAACTCGGGGCTCCATGTAATCACAATAACAGGGGAAAGGAATAAACTGTGTGAGGGGAGAGACATTAACAGCTGATTGCAAACCTCAAGCAGAGCCAGGAGCAAGAATAAAAGGCCAAGTCCTGCTACATTTTCAGCTTGCTCCAAGCTAACCAGTTGACAGCTGCTACTTTGCCTGCATGAGGCAAAAATTAGACAGAGTCATGTAGGGAGATGATCCAGGAGCTGCTGGGGGCTGCTGGGACCAGGAGCTCTTGGGCTGCTTCCCTTTGTCTTCCCAGTAATGCCTCTTGGCTTACTCCCTCTTACTTTTCTCCTTCTCATCCACTGCTGTCCTGTTTTCTGTCCCATCCTGCCTCTTTCTGCTCTGCTTTTCTCCCTCTCCAATGCTCCTGCTGTTTTGCCACTAGCCAGGTAAGGTCCTTTTCTATGCCAGTAGCTGTCCAAAGCCATGGGGGTAAAGAGGTGCCATGTCCACACATTCACTAGGGAGATGCCAAGCAAAGCTTCTGCTTCCATCCAGACGTCAGGTGTTATCTGTTTTCCATGAGAAAACTAGAAACCTGCATCTGATTTAAGGCTGCAAGTCAGAGTTCTGAACCATGAGGGTCAGGGACTAGGGCATGAATCTCCTGCCCCAGAGGAGAAGCTCCCAAACTACCATCATTGTTGGGCAGTGGAGACTGCAGGGAGCCTCTTTTTACTCCTGTTATGCTTGGAAAATAACTGTTTTGGCAAAATTGGTGTGGTCAGTGGAAAAATGTTTTGTCAAGAGATTTGCTTTAGTTTAGTAAATCCTTGCTTAGGATATCCTGGTTGATCTTGCAGCTCTTATGGGAAACTGTCCTGTGGTTGGCCAGGGCCCCGTGCTGGTAAAAACAGGAGAGAAAATACTGTGTTGTAATAAGGCAGGTGAGCAAGCAAAACAGCCTGTGAGTTTTGTGGCACATACACTCAGGTTAAATGCTGTTCTCCTTGCTGCTCCTGCCACACTGTCAACAGCAACCACTGGAGGAGGTAGTATCAACTGAGAGCATGAAGGCTCCAAGAAAGCATAGATTTTCTCAAGAAGAGAGAGTAAAAGGCTGGGAACTGTTTGCTTTAAGACTATGATAAATAACACACATATGCTCATTTTGCAGAGTGTGATTACTCTGTGGGACTCACTGCCCCAGGGCAGCACTGGCACAGGAGGCCTAGCAGGATACACATTCAGGCATAATAAAAAAATCATCTGTAGGAAAATAAAACCCCCAAATACTTTGTCTCCATGCTTCACAACATCAGTTAATTCTATGAAAACAGCCAGAAACTTCCTCCATAAGCAGATTATTGCAAGACTGGCTCTGAGTGACATCTTATGCCTTCCTTTGTGATATCTGGCCTGGGCCATTGCTGGAGACAGGCTGCAGAGGGATGGATTACTGATTTGATTCTCCACTTTAATATCCTGACTTTTCCTTCATGATGTCACACAAATAATGGAAGGCAGAACATTTTTATTTTTTTTTTTTACAAGCCAGATAGGGACTACTTTCTATTAAGCTTTTGGAATACCTTGTTTGCTATTGCACTTGGGAATATACTGCAAAAATAACCAAACCTAATCAAGATTTTTCCTAATTTCCAAAAAGGCTGCTGTAGAGTTCAGCTGCCTTTTTTTTTATTTTTAGCACAGACACCACTTATCACGAAGGTGTTTTTACATAGGCAAGGCTATTAGAATGATTTATAATGCTATTGTCATAACTGCAGTTTTGCTGAAAGCATGGGGAGGAAATTGTATGCATCATGGGTAGAATGGGTTTTTTCCTAGTTTGTGAGAGCCATTATTTTAGTCTTCTAATCATTAAGATTTATTTTACCTAGGCAAGAAATATTGTAGGTATATCACCCAAGTGTTTTTCAAGCAAAAATGAAGCATTGTATATCCAGTGAATTATAGGACATTTCCTGATATCACAACAATGAATACAGTAGAAGTAGAGCAGAAATGTGTCAATAACAGTAAATATACTCTGCACTTCTTTTTTTTTATAAGTGTTATGTTTGTGGAAAATCTGTTGATTACTCTTGCTGATTTTCTCACCTACTTGACAAATCACCTTTAAAGTAAGATAAACATGTAAAAATTCTGTCTTGGTGGACCTTCTGCACTCCAGAAGTGGAGTCCCAAGACTTACAACTAATAGGAATACAGCTGTTGTGAAACAGTGCTATGGTTTAACCCCAGCCAGCAGCCAAACACCACACAGCTGCCTGCTCACTCCTGACTGAAAGATGGAGAGAATCAGGAGGGTAAAAGTGAGAAAAGTCATGTGTTGAGACAAGAACAATTTAATAACAGGTAAAAAGTAGTAGTACTAGTAGTAGCAGTAATAATAATCATAATAATAGTAATGTAATTAAAAGGAAAATAACAGAGAGAAAAATAAAACCCAAGAAAGAGAAGTGATGCAAATGACAACAATTACTCACCACCATTTGACTGATGCCTTCCAGTCCCTGAGCAGCAGTGTCCCAGCCAACCTTCCTGATAGGTTTAATGCTCAGCATGAAGCCATATAGTATGGGATATCCCTTGAGGCCAGCTATCCTAGCTGTGTCCCCTCCCTGCTGCTTGTGCATCCCCAGCCTCCTTGCTGGTGGGGCACTGCAAGGAGTAGCAAAGCCCTGTTGTGCTCTGTTAAGAACTGCTCAGCAGTAACTGAAACATCTCTGAATTACCAACATCTCCCAGCGCAAATCCAAAACATCACCCCATACCAGCTACTATGAAGGTTAACTCCAGCCAAAACCAGCAGTCACTGGAAGTATTTTTAGCAATCTGAGATCTGGGCTCCTTAGGTGATGCTCCTCAGCAGCTCAAGTATGTTGAGTCAATCAGTAGATTTGAGGTTCATTTGAAGGTGTGTAGTCCTCACTCCCTAAGGTGCTTTAGCACTTTTTTGGCAGCCTGGGCATACTGTGGTAGCCCAGGCCCTCTGGAAGGGTGTGCCCAAGCTTTGCCAGGAGGCTTAGACTCCTTTTTTGGATAGCTGTGGGAAGTTACAACTAAATTTGCACACAGATAATATATGGGGTGGTCTGGAGACCAAGAAAAGCAGATGTTATAGAGGACATTTTCTCCGTGTGACTTAGTGGACCTTAGTGGAGCTTCAAATAATGAGCTCAGTTCTCCAGGATTCATTGTAACAGGAAGAAAAAAAAAAAGACCAAATCTCTCCCAACTTAAAATTATTTTTGAATGTCCAGATAATGCATGATGCCTGTCCTAATGATGTATCATATCTGTGTCCCAAGTCTCCTAATTCTGGAGGTTTTGTAAGACCACCTTTAGAAGTGCCAGCAGCTGGTTGCTCACGGCTGGTGAATCAGTGCTTTGAGCCACTGCACACACTGCAGTCATTGGCCTCCAATAAACCTCAACAGAGTAGTTGTTCAGAGAGGGAAATCATCATGTCCAGTTCATATTACAAAGGACTGATGATTGCACTCCTGAAAACCATCTTGTACAGCCTTTTAGTCATCCCCCTCAAACATTGTGACAATGTTAGTCATGAACTACACCTTCAACATGAGCAGGGTGTTTTATCTGTCTGCCTACTCACCTTCCTTTAATACTGCTTCTTTGGTCCACTCCAGTTATGTTTCATCCTGATAGCCAGTGGCTTGACTGCTGGCCAAAAATGTTAATTTTTACAGAGACCTTTTCAATCTGAGTCATTCTTTTTTTTCCTGATAAGAAGTTAAAAATTAGAGATGTTTACTCTTTAGTGTAGTACGCTGTGTATGGAAGAAAAGAGCAGCTTTTATCAATCAAGACTCCTTGGACAGGTGACAGCTGACTGTTCAAAGACAATGGCCAGGCAGATGTGTAGGGAGGCTGGTTTGTATTTCCACAGGCAGGAGTGTTCCTACCACTGACACACTACACTAACAGCTTAAGACTTTCAGCAGCAAATGTGACTGCAGCTATTACCTCTTGTGCAAAAAAGAAGGGTTCTTGTGCTCACAGACTTTGCCTCATCTAACTTCTAGCAGAGGTTGCATTTTTGACAGTGAGCAACTGTTCAGCTGTGTTTTTACATTTTTAAGACACCTTCTGTTGTCCATCACAGTGGTTTTATGGTTCATAGGACTCTTGGAGGAGAACCACGCAAATTCTTGCAAACATGATGTCATTTTATGTTCCTTCCTGTTTTGTACCTTCCATCTACTTTAAACCAGCAGGAGGGAAGGTCAGAGAAGTATGACATTTTCTTTTATTGTATCCAAGGGTTTAAGGAATGGCATTTTTTTTTTTCATTTAAATGATTGTTCCTTGCCAACACCACATGAGCAAACACATAAAGTAGCACAACAGCTACCATAGTGTGCTGGAGAGCACAAGGACTCAGGAAGCTGCTTGGAGTGAAGGCAGAGAATAGTGCCAGGGGAAAACCTGTCCATGCTTTCCTTCAGATGGAGATGACATAATGATGCCCAGAAAAAATAAAAAGAGTCATTACCAGCATTTTTATGTCACGGTTAATGCTATATTTAGCATATAGCTATGCTGGCATGTGGAGGTCTGGGGAAAGACAAGGCTGATGGGGAGCTGTGCTGGTGGGGGTGGCAGCCCCCAGGGAGCTGAGCCATGGAGGGGTGCAGAGCAGGGCACTGTTATGGCAGTGTCACGCAGAGGTGGAGTTGCCTGAAGGAATGCATGAGTCATGAGCCAGTTTCTCCACAACGTGTAAAGATATAGTGGAGCAGAGGGCTTGTTCCTAGGGTTGTCATTTGCACCACCCCAGTGACCCTCCTGGTCAGAGGAGGGGACTTGCTGAGCTGAAGTAATACTTTAATGAAGTATTACTTTAATGCCATGGTAACACTAGGAGTTCTCATGATAGGAAATGTCCATGCTATAATGTGGGTACCACAAATGTACAAAGCCTCATGTCCTCTGAACAGACATCATGGGGAGAGCTCAATGACTTACAACAGATATTTAAACTTTTTCGAAAGCCTTTCCCCTCTGGCATAATTTGAGGTTTTCTCAACCCTGTGGTCTGCTCAGAGCAGTGACCCTTCCTGTCTTGGCACAGAGCAGAGCTGTGTGACAGTTTTCCTTTGGGCAGGAATATAGCTCCAGAGCCCATCCCTATTCCTGCACAGCAACTGCTTCTTGCAGAAAGGCCTCTATTTGTCAAGGACTGGATCTAATTCTCAGGGATATTTTGCATGCATAACCCTCCTAAAAGAAAATAATTTTATTCACTACTGCATGTAGGTGGAGATGATGGAAAGGAGGGAGGGAGGGGTTCCTGCTGGCAGAAAAAACAAATCAAGAGTTATACACAAATTCTTACTTCTTCTGCTTGTAAGAAAGGACAAATAGACTTTTAAAAAAAACCACACAGACCCTTTAGTACTTGTGTGTGACTTTGGATTTGTCTAGGAAAATTTAGGGATAGTTTGTGCCTGAGTTTTGCACGGAGAGGCAAGCTAGTTCCTTAAGCATCCCCATGAGCAGCCGTCCTTGCAGCCTCGTGGGGAGAGCCCACCCGTGTGGTGGGAGCAGTGGTGCCCTCCCAGTCCTCCCAGCAGCAGGGACTTGCCCCCAGGAAGGGGTGCTGGTGGCACAGGTGGCAGGCAACTCACCAGAGTGCTCTTGTCACGGGGGTTGAGCTGCTCCCCACCAACACAACCCATCTCCCATTTCTCTGATTTACCAGTCAATTTGATCAACCATTTAATTTTGTCAAAATCATTGACAGAAGAACATTAAAAGGAGAGTTGTGCCACTTCTGTGCTCTATGGCATGGGCTCATTTATTTTAATTAGCTGAACAAATTCATGGTTAAACAAGGCTCGAGAGGGTGCTATCTAAATGAGCTACTCATGGCATACACATGACCATTAACAAAACACTTCTCCACAGCTTGACTATGTTCTCCCCCATCTAACTTGCAGCTCATTATAGCTCTAGAGATAGGAAACAGAATGTAGCGCCTAATTAAAATGTGAGCCTGTGTCCACAGATGATTTAATAGAAATAAATGCATTAAGCTGGTGAGAGAAGCAGGAGAGAGTCATCACAATAAACACATCTTGTTCAAGCACAGTCTGGAGAAAACTATACCTCTATTTTAGGCATCTGCATGAAGTTGGAGGTATTTGGGTCCTGATACAGCAAAACATTAAAAAAAACCTGATAAAATGTCTGTTGTTCTCATTAAGTATTCTGAACTCCACTGTGTAGTAACAATTTTTAGCCTTTCACTTTGGTTGTCATAGAAATAGCATAAGCAACCACTTATTTTGATAATAGATTTATAATCTGTCTTCTGTTGTTTTAGTTGCTCTTTTCAAAAATTATATTGCTGCATTTTTTTTGCATAAGTAGATGCGATATCTTCAACCATTGCAAGATTAATTTAACGTGTTAGGTTAAGCACTTTAGATGCATGCATAGAATTTAATGTATTTTTAATACTGTTTTTCTCCAAAATACATTAAAAGTATAAATAGCTGGACATGAACTTAATACCTTCCAAAGAGAAACAAACTAATCCTGTCTCGCTCTGTTTGTCACAGGTGGAGCAGTCCCCTGGTTGATCTGTTTTTCTCCAACCAGTTCCTTCAGATCACCACCACTGTGCCATCCACTTCTGTGTATGGGTTTGGTGAACATGAGCACCCGACCTTCAAGCACAACATGGACTTTGTTACCTATGGCATGTACAGCAGGGACCAGGCACCAACGGTAATTCACTCTATGCAACACTTTGTCCTAGCTTGTGTCACCAAAAGGAGGTGACACAAACATGGAATGTCACAAGCTTCGCAGGTATCATCAGTTTTAATTAAAGACTAAGCCATGAATTGTTTTGAGGGAACTTTGAAACCTTTTATCAGAACCTTTTTCACAGTGCAATTTTCAGGAAAAAGTATATTGTGTGCCAAGATCTTGGTTCAGGAGAGTTTTGCATTTCATGCTTGGATCAATCCCTGTTTGTCCAAACAAGCTGGACTCCAGCAGGACTCATTAGATATTTGGCTGAACTGAAGTCAGTGGTTGATGAGTCTGTTTTTACTAGAAAAATGATTCTTACTCATGCCAATCTGAAGGGTTTAGCAGAATATCAAAGGTTTAACTAGGAAAGACTAAAAAATTCCATTGTGATAAGGCAGAAAAAAATAACTCTTTTCTGTCAATTTGACTTCACACCAATTTAGATTAAAAAATCCCCTTATTTATTTCAAAATAATTTTCTAACTATGAATTAATTTATTTCTTTGTCTGTGCATATGTATCTACTTGACAAAAGCTATGAAAGAGCAAGTCAAGTTATATTTCATGTGTTGTTTATGTTTCAGTCATTTGCCAACCTCTATGGAGTTCACCCTTTCTACATGTGCGTAGAACCAGACTCCAATGCCCACGGTGTTCTCCTTCTGAACTCCAATGCCCAAGGTAAAAAGATACATGGATTCCCTGTATGGACTGCATATAGAAATATGATAGATTAGTAAGTATAAAATACTGTTTTACTTCAATGGGGTAAAAATATGAGTGACTGCACAGCTAATTAAGCTTCCAGGACTAATAGATTTTTCAAAGATTTTTCAAAGGAATTTCAGTAGAATGAATTTTTAACAAGGAATTTGGGCATTTTTAGGCATTTTCAGGGAAAATACATTCTTAACTTTTTAATGAAAATATATGCAAATAGAGGGAAAGAAGAAGGTGGAAGAAATTTCCTTTGAGATTGGCATAACAAAATCAAATCAGTTTAGGTTAGTCCTATATTCTGTCTTTGGAGAATAGTTTTGTATGTTGCCATGGTCACCTTACTGCATTAATCTAGTGGCATAATTTCAGAAAAGGGGAATCTTCACTTAGTCTATAAAATCAGTTTCCCCTGGCAGACAATGGCTTTCAATAAGATTAAAATAGCATAGAGGAACCCTAAACACAAACTTGTTGATCCTTTGTATAAATATGAAACTGAGACAAATGGATCTGTGCAATCTACGCTGGGTGGGTTTCTGTGATTTCTTGCTGCGCCATGCTAATCTGAAAGCAGAGATTACAGAAACACTGGGCCTGCCTACCTTCAGGCCCTGTTTGCTCATCCAGTCGTACCCACAGGGAGGAGCCCAGCATGCACACACCTAGGATAGGTAGGATAGAATAGAATATTTCAGCTGGAAGGGACATAAAACATACCTGTAGTACAACTGCCTGAACACTTCAAGGCTGACGAAAAGCTAAATGTGTTGTTAAGGCATTGTCCAAATGCCTCTTACACACTGACAATCTTGAGGCATCAACATCTCTAGGAAGCCTGTTACAGCATTTGCCTGCCCTCAGTAAAGACATGCCTCCTGATGTTGAGTCTCAACCTCCCCTGATGCATTCTTGACCTATTCCCATGTATAGTGCAGAGTTTGTTTGTGCTGAGGGCCTTTTTTTCCCTTTTAGATGTTACTCTGTCTCCAAACCCATCTTTAACTTTCCGCACGATTGGAGGGATCCTGGACTTCTATCTCTTCATGGGACCGACTCCTGAAAACGTGGTTCAGCAGTACACTGAGGTGAGTAGAAAAGTGCACTTGGCACATGGAGCAGTGCCTTGTAACACATCCTGTCAGTATCTGGTAGTATCAGTGGGTTGTGCAGGCAGAGCTTTGTCCTGATCCATTTGTACAAAGCTGCAGCTTCAGATCCATGGGAAAACTGGCATGTGCTCTAGCATCTGTGAACAGACTGAGTGTCACAGGCAGGCTGGGTGTTCAGTGCACATATGCACATTCTCCTGCAATATGTCAGGAAGGGATGCAGGAGTGCACTAAAGGGATGCAATGATTAGAAAGGTATCTGTCTAAGCTTACTCCTCTCGGGCTGTCACAGTTTTATAGTCTTTGCTGTATGACATGACTGCATTTTGACACTGCAGGCCAAGTAAACAAACTAGGCAGAGCACAGATGGAAATGTTTGGGAGCTTTACATATGCTGGATTTCAGAGATATTGAATGGACTCTGAAGTCTTCAAACCTTTATTTTCCAGTGGAGTTGCTTGCTGATTTTGGAGCCATCAGGCTGTTTTTTACTAATGAAAACCCATATAATTGCATTGGAGAGCATGGATGTATAACACTGCATTTACTGCTGTCTTACAGAGTGTAACTACTTGCTATCCAATTGCCCAGTGTTTTCCAGAGAACTGAGAGTACACATGCCAATGGCTGATTTGGAAGTGTACGTGCAATTTTTATTTAGTGAGGACTGTGCAGAAAAAAGTAGCAGATAATATGTTTTTCCTGGTCACCAAATGGTGCTTCAGCTGGGCCTTGCCACAGAAATTACCACCTCAGACACAAGCTGTGTATGCAAAGAAATCAGTGTCAAACCTAAAGAGTGTGGAGCAAAGCTGGAGTAAGCATGTTAGTGTGAGAAGGGGAGTCCATGTGCAGACCCTGAGGATTAGGCTGCAATTAGCATTCTCTGAGGAAGGCTGAACAGGGTAGGGCATCCCAGAGCCAGGCACTCAGAGCTCACAGCAAGATGTGCATGTGCTCTGCCTTTGCTCATGCCACCCCTCAAAGGGGCCTGAGCTCTGATCTTTGTGAGCATTTTGTCTTTCTTGGCTTTTTAAAGCCTCCATAGCCTATGCTTGCCTTCTTTTAAAGTGCCTGTATGGGAACAGAAATACTGTGGTTTAGAGCAAGGGAAAAAAGAGTATTTAACCCAGAAGGAAGGTATTTCTGGGTTCTGGTTTGGTGAAGGAAGGGATAAGACTTGCTCATGCTGCTGTTTTGGGAAGGCTGGAGCTTCTCTGGGTTGGTGAGCTCTGCTAGACCTTCCTTTTCCAAGGAGAGGTTCAGGTGCTACCTCCCAGAGAGATGAGAGGCTGATGGTGCTCCTCCACGTCCTGGAGAAGGAGCAACTGCTCTGTTGCTTGGAGGTTTCCAGCTCCCTCTGCACATCATCCCCACCCGTTGTCTGCCGTGGTTTAACCCCAGCTGGCAGCTCAGTCCCACACAGCCACTCGCTCACGCCTCGTCAGTGGGGTGGGGGAGAGGATCCAAAGGGTAAAAGTGAGAAAATTCGTGGGTTGAGATAAAGACAGTTTAATGGGTAAAGCCAAACTGTGCACACAAGCAAAGCAAAACAAGGAATTCATTCACCAGTTGCCATTCCCCACATCCTGGGGGTGTCTAAACACCAGCACCAGGTGTTTAGACACCCCCAGGAATCAGGGGAATGGCTGAACATGTGACTGTTACTGGGAAAGGCAAATGCCATCACTCTGAATATCCAGCTCCCCCTTCCTCTTCCCCCAGATTTATGTCCTGAGTATGAAGCCATTTGATATGGAACATCATTTGGGTCAGTTTGGCTCAGCTGTCCTGGCTGTGTCCCCTCCCAGCTCTTTGTGTACCCCCAGCCTCCTCACTGGTGGTGGGGAGTAAGGAGCAAAGAAGGCCTTGACTCTGTGTAAGCACTGCTCAGCAAAATCAAATATATCACTGAATTATCATCACTATTTTCAGCTGAAATCCAAAACACAGCCCATTCCAGTTACTGTAAAGAAAAGTAACCATATCCCAGCCCAAACCAGCACACGCTATTTCCGATGCCAGTGCCACAGACCAGCAAGCAAGCTGGGATTTTAACTTTCACATGGGTAATAAAATCAGGGGGGAGAAAAGTGGAGGGGAAAAGTAAAGCAACTCTCCCCCAGGCTGGAGCTTTGATCCCCATTTCAAGGGAGTTAGTGCAGCAGTACGATGGAAATTAGAGCCACGCCTGCTCCTTTTCAAAGTCTTTTACTGGTGTTTGAAGGCAGCATTTCTGTGGCTTAGCAGGTGGTCAGCATCTGAAAATAAATTGAGAGAGTTCTCACTCCCCAACTGATGGGTAGTGGCAGCTCACTTTCCACCCCTGTCTCTGGAAATGGAGCTGGAGGAAAGAAAACAAGGTAAAGGAGAGCAGTGGGCGTCTCCTAATGAGATATGTCACATGCCAGGACAAAAAAATCCTGTTCTGTATTCTCTGAGCTTGTGCTCAACTCTCTAGGGAATCTTAAAGAATGCATGTTAGTAATTTCAATGTGAAATAATAACTTCTTCAGTAAACATCCTGAAATTCCAAGGTCAAAAATGTTACAATTACCATATTATTAGTCTCTAGGGTAATAATTTGGCTTTTATGTACAAGGTATGTGGGAAGGTGAAGGAGACAGAAAAGACTTAATTTTTCAATTGTCTTTTGTGTCACACTGAGAGGATTTTCCCTGTGCAGTCATTGTCATGCTGTAGGGAAAGAAAAGGGGTAGAAAGGAGAAATGTGATTGATGTCTGCAAGGCACTGCTCAGCAGCATGGCTCCGCTCTCTGAGCTGTTTGCATGGGTCTCCTCTGCGAATTGGTGTTTTGGGAGTTCCTGGCTGCAGGGGCCCCTGGTGGGATCAGGTTGCACTGCTGCAGAGCTTCTCGGTGGAATAGCACCTGCCTCTCTCCTGAGCAAGTTTGCCACAGTCACTGCTTTTGCAGGGACCCCTCATTTTATCTGTCCAGGATGGCCCCACTGGTGTGGCAGGGTGGCCAGGTGCCGGCAGGCACACAGCTGGTGAGAACAAGGGAGCTGTTTGCAGAGCAAAGTGCCTTACACCTTTCTCCAATGTTTTGTGCTGTTGCCTTCAGTGCCACTTCAGTATCTGAGCCACCTCTCTGCCCCTGCTATGCTTGTTTCTGTGAGAGGTTTAGGAGCTTAGCTGTGATCTGTGTTTTTTCGTGGCTCCCTCCAAACCAGTGAATTAGGATAGCTTTGTTAGAAAGCTCTTTATTTGGCCTCTAGAGTATGCAGGATTTCCCCACACACCTCTCCAGGTTGTCACCAGCACCCAGGGTAGACCACGGACTCTTGGCTGCTTGGTCCAGGCTATCCCAAGAGCAGGGCTCTTGGCTCTCTTTGTGGTGATCAGGGTTGATAGGAGCTGCTCTGCCAGAGTCATCAGCCTCTCTGCATCCTTGGAGTGAGGACAGGTAACAACAAAAGCTGTGGTGGCCCTGCATGCCAGCCTGACCAAGGATAATCTGCTTTAAATGGGCTCCAAGAGTGAGGCAAGATGTGAGAAGGGAGCAGAGGGTGAGTGCTGATTCCTCTGCCCCTCTACTGTGTGCTGCATGGAGCAGGGATGAGCTGTAGGATGCCTCCTGCCAGTGGCATCTGAGTGCTACAGCAGTGGTAGCAGCTGTAGGGTATGTGCTGGGCATGGTCCCATGGGAAGGAGCAGCCTCCAGCCTGATTCTTCTGCTCTCTCCTGTCCCTGAGCCCACCTTTGTGGGGTATTACTCCTGCCACATCTAAGATTGTCCTGTACAGCTCTCTCTATATGTCAGTGATCACATTTTTCTCCTACTGCAGAAGAGTCTGGTGTGCAGAACAGTTATGTAACACAAATCTCACTTTTAACGGCAAACACCTCCGTTTGCAGGAGGGTGAGAAAAAGCAGTAACAAGCTAAAGAGTTCAGGCACTGACCTGAGCCTGGCTGAGGCTCTCCAGTCACACGTAATACCAGGCCAACATTGCCAAGACCGCTGGTGGCCTTTCAGAACAGACCAACAGTGCACAGCAGTAGTGTGTGAGCTCCATAACAAGATGCTCAGGAATGTTAGGGTTCAAAAACCAGATATTTAATAGCACTTGGGTAAAGGCCATGAATATGTTATTTTATCACAAATTATCCAGTAACAAGCTGTAAGTGAGCATACTGTAAGTCTCCTGATTCTGTTTGGAGAGAAAATTGCTGGTTTGCTTCCTCCTTACAGAAGTGTGAGCTGGTTACAGGTGTAAGGGACCTCAGAGGTCTCTAGTCCACTCTCCTATTGGAGATGTAACATGGGAAACCTGCTTGTACATAGATCTTATCACAGATGATTCAGTGAGAGTCTTGCAGCTGAATTCCCCAAGAAGAAATAAACAACTGATAATTGTTTTGTGCAGCAGAAACCAAGATTTGAAGACCTTGGCATTGAAAATCCTTAGTTTTTTTTTATACTCCTGAGGTTGTGAGCATCTTCTTTATGGTTCAGCAGCTGCAGGGCCTTTCTTTTTGCTCTCCTAAATCAAAGGTTAGCTTCTGTTAACAGACTTTGAGTGAAGGTTACCCTCTAACTGACTGGGTGCCCACAGGACTCAGCTGCTTGCCTTAGTCATAGCAGATGAGCTGGATACAGACATGTGGGCCCTAGCAGCACCTGTGGAATTAGCCATTGTGTATTTAGCCATACAGAAACACTAAACCCAGTGCATTAGCCCGCTTGGGTTTTCTAGTTTCCTCCTATAACTCCTCTTTGAAGAAAGGGAGTTGAAGCAAATATCAAGCTTCAGAAATCATTTTGTGTGGCTAATTAGGGTGTAAGATTAGCAATCTGCATTGTGGGACATCTTAGCTCCTTTGTCAGCACAGGAAGGAGTACCTCTCTCCAGCCTCTGTGATATATAGGCATAACTCTGCAGCTCTCTCTCTCTCATCAAAGTCTTTGGTCATAATGTTAACAGAATAGGATCCTGATTTTACTCTATAGAATGTAGTACATAGTACATTGCACATAGTACATTGCACATAGTAAATATCTAGTACATATCATTGATGCTCATATTAATAACATTATTTGTCCAATAATCCAACACAGGCAAAAAAATGCAGATCACCTGCTTCCCAGACACAGATTTTATCTGTTAGATATACTTGTTTCCACTGAACTTCATTCTTACCACAAAATGCCTTCAGGGTACCTCCTTGATGCATCAGCGCTCAGGTGGCCCTGAAAAAAGTGAAAAAAAATATACATAATGCTAAGTTATGTAAACAGGCAAAAACTAACAGTGAATTTATTAAACACTAGGATTATTTAAGAAACAAGTGCAGGAAGAATTCTGGAACAGAAAATAGGATTTTTTTTAATTGGTTCTGCACTATGGTATCTTTGTGCTTTTTTTTTCCCCCCTTCATTTTGGATACCCCATATGTTTGGCATTTCTATGTTTTCCTCCCTCAGTTCCCCTGCCATACCCCGTCTACCTTTTCTGATTCTATGGGAGTCAATTTGCCAAGCAGTCTTTCTCTGGCTGCTGCACTTTCTGATCATTTGTATGCAGAATGCAATCTATATGAATTAACTAGATCCTAAATATATATCAAATCCAACTTGAGTCTTCAGGTTTGCAAAATTACATTCCTGCCTCTGCTGATCCATCTGTGAGTGGGTACCATATGTCAGTTACTTTATCAGGAAGCTTCAGGGGGATCCATTAGAGAGAGTCCACAGCATAATTAGAAAAAAGAACATTTGTTTTCCCAGCTGCCCTGTTTTCATCCTTCCTCTTCAAATGTTCTGCTGGTTTCAATTAAGCTCACCATAGATGCACCAGCCTGGTGAACCTAGAGAACTAATTGCTTTAAAAACTTAATATCTTCCTTGCAAGGTAGATATTTTTCTGTTGGTTCAGCTGTAATCCCAAACTCCTCAAGGGATGCTGTCACAAAATACTGTCTCACTCTGTGGTCCAGAATGACACAGCACCATCCCCATAAGGGTGATCAGGTGAACCCCAGCAAACCCCAGTGCTGGGGACATGCCCTTTGGGAAGGGCTCTGACTGACACACCAGTGGCCGCAGCTTCACCTCCAGCCCCACTGCTCTCCATCTGGATGCTTGACAGGACATGGGGAAGAAGCCAATCCCCATCCAACTCTTGGAATGCATTGTATTGGCAATGTCCCAGACTGACTGTCCTCCCCAGGCAGGAGTGACCCGAGGTGTTACAGGACCCAGAGCAGAGCTGCTCAGCAGTTCCCACTGCCTCTGCCCAGGCTGGTTCCCCCTTTCCCCTTTCCCAGCCTGCTTGGGAAGAGGCAGCAGATGCCATGCAGACATCCTGCCAGGGCACAGGGCTCTGCATTGAGCTGCAGGATTAATATTTATCAGCCAGTTTTCCCTATTTCTCTTGTCCAAGATGAGAAGCCTGTGCACAAAGCATTTTATTTCATTAGGGAGTTCTTTTGTTTTGGTCTGTTTTTTTAACCTTGTTTGTAGAGGTCATTCTCTGTTTCCAGTAGAGAAAGCAAGGGCAAAATATGCATCTGCTTTAGGGGCACAAAATGGTGGGTTCACGAAACTCATCCCACAGCCTTTGCTGGTCTAAAACAAGCTCTGCTGCCTCCTCAGATGAATTTATCCTTAACATGGTGAGTGTGGGTGTGACAGAGAAGAAGACTTCTGGCCCTGAGGCTGGCCATGCTGTGTTGGGAATGTTGGTGCTGTCTCACAAGGTGCCTGGGAGGTTGTCCTGAGCCATCACATCCCATTCAGCTCTCCACGGAAAACCCCAGCAGAGCTTGAAAGATGGTCTGGGTGATCAGATGTGTCCAGACACGCTGGAAAAATCCTGATGACATGTGCAGGAGATGGGGTAGCACCAGGGTAGTTACGGCATGTCTGCCCATCAGCCTCCCCCTACATGGTAGGCACCACCTTTGTCTGTGCAGGGCCTGCCCTGGCAAGGGCCCAGCAGCGTGCAGTGGAAGCTGAGTGCTTCTGTGGCAGGAACATGCTGCTGAGAGCTGCTCTCACTTCTTCTGAATACCTCAGCCTCCAGCTGAGTTGGAGAAGTAGGTGTTGAGGAGGATCAGGAAAGCTGAGTCTGGTGGGACAGGACAAGCAGCAGGTGTATGGGGCAGCTGTGCTGATCAGCTGGAGCGTCCCTCCTGGAGACACACAAAGCATTAACCTCACCAGTGGTTATGGCCTCCTTATGTTTCTGCTTATCTGAAACAGCAACATCCCAACAAGTGAAAGCACACTGTAGCCAAATGTGTAATGTTTGTATGTGTTCCCAAGCATTTCCTGTTTGGAAGCAATTTACCCTGTGTGTTTCCCAGCTCAGGGGCATTAAAAGCATCCTCAGGTTTTCTCTGCCTCTCTCCCACATGTGGTTTTCTGTCTGATGCACTTTGTACATCCGTGTACTGATGCTCTAGCATGTGATGTATTTTAGAGCAATTTCAAGCTCAGCCTTGCTTTCCCAGGTCAGACTCTTCCTAGAGAAAATCCCATAGGAAGGTGTGCCTTCGTGCAATGCATCTCCAGAGAGCTTCGCAATGCAATAGATACAGACTGCCAGAAGTGCCTTGTTTTATTTATTTGAAGTAGATGGGGTTTAGCTGCCAATATGCAAGTTTTGTTGTTTTTCGCTTTTCAGCATAATTACCTAACTATGGAGATCCACAAGGAAATAAGGGAGGAACCATTATTTAGCCAAAGGGGGACAGTAGCTGCAGCTGATTAATAAGTCATGGGTGCTTACTAGCTACTAGATTTTCATGTATTGCCTGCAAAGGTGTTAGAAATACAAATCAAAGGTTAGTGTCATTGGATCTAACTGAAGTAAGGATTTCAGGAGATGTGCCCCAGAAAACACTGGTGTATACTAATGAAACAAAGCCAGACTTCAGCTTATTTGTAGAACAGACACATCGTATTTGCCCACTCCTCATCCCAGGTTACCACAGCAGCTCTCACCAGGGGAAGCAGAGCAGGATGCCTTGCTTCCCTGTGCTCTCAATTGAGTTTCCTCATGCCATTTATAGATGGATTACATTCAGACAGTGGAAATCAAATATTTATAAAATCATATTTAGCTTATTACCTTGTGTTTCAGTTGAGAATTTTGGGACCAAACATTAATTCTGGCCTTGAAGAGGGTTGTCAGTGCCTGGCAACACAAGGATGTGGACCAGCAATAATAGTAGTCAGCCATAAATAAAGAGTTTCATCAGATTGGTGTGTAAATATGATTAAAACTTCAGAGAGCTCAAGTAAAGAGCAGACTCTTGATAAGTTAGTTCAGCTGGATGTGGCAAGAGAAATTTGCAAAGCTTACGTTGCTGTGTGTGGTTGGAGATTTGCCTTCTGTTGACCAAGGGGTTTGTGGACTTTTTGTAGATCAGGTGGCATGAAGCTCCACACTGGATTTCTGCTGGCATGTGCCCTGTGAGTGAGGGTGTGCAGAGGCTGAGACCACATTTAACATTAGCCTGGCTTTTATACACTGTGTCTTCCACGGGGGTGTCCTTAGAAGTGATGCTCAGTGCTGGCATTGTTGGAGTCTCTCTGAAGGGCAAAGATCCACCAGGAGAAGTGCCAAGTGTGCTGTGCCAAGAGCCACTCGGAGAAAGGACTGGGTATTTAATGGGAGTGTGATGCCTATGCCCTGGCATTTGTGCTTTAAATGGTCTGGAAGCCTCTCCTGGTGTTTCAGAGTAACTTCTTTTCCTCTCACCCTTGTGTTTCTGTATTCCTCATTCCTGCTGCAGGCCATTGGACGCCCACACATGCCAGCCTACTGGTCTCTGGGATTCCAGCTCTCCCGCTGGGGCTATAACAGCCTTGATGTTTTAAAGGAAACTGTCAGTCGCATGAAGCACTATGACATCCCATATGTAAGTAGGAATCTTTCACTGTGTGTGCTAATGTTACACTCTGAAGTGAGTAAAATTATAATGGAGGAAAAGTAATTGTCTTACAAAGAGAATTGTAGAATAAAACGACATTCATAATTTTATGTAGTGGGTTTGCATGTAATATCTTCATAATGCTTAAAAGAACGTTTAAAGTGGGCTGTGAACATCATGTTTAAGTGCTGCTCTTGGCTGCATAGCAGGTGATTTTGGTGTGGATTTGCTGTTATGCAGTATGAGGTGCTAGCATTTTAAAAACAAATTATGAAAACAAACTTCCTGCAAAATAGTTGCTAAACTAGGGCTTCTACATTTTCTTGTAGTCCACTGCTAGGATTACAATTACAGTCTCTTAGGTTTCATTACGTACATTAGCTGCCTTTTAGAAATACCATTGCATGCATTCTGGTTTCTGTGAATACTTCAGTCATAGAATCATAGAATAGTTGGAGTTGGAAGAGATCATTAAAGGCCATCTAATCCAAGCCCCCTGCAATGAGCAGGAGGATCTTCAACTAAATCAGGTTGCTCAGAGTCCCATCCAACTTAATCTTAAATGTTTCTAGGGATGGGGCATTCACCATCTACCTGTGCAACCACCTCATTGTAAAAAAATTCCTTCCTTATATCTAGTCTGAATCTACCCTCCTTTAATTTACAACCATCACCCCTAGTCCTATTGCTACAGAGCCTACAAAAAAGTCTGACTTCAGCTTTCTTATAAGCCCCTTCTAGGTGTTTAAAGGCTTCAGTAAGTTCTCCCTGGAGCCTTCCTGTCCTCAGGCTGAACAGCCCTCTTTGTCTCAGCCTGTCCTCATAGCAGAGGTGCTCCAGCCCCTCTAATAATTTTTGTGGCCCTCCTCTAGACTTGCTCCAAGAGATCCATGTCTTCCCTGTCTGAGAACTCCAGAGCTGGACAAAGTAATAAAGTAATTTTTTACTTGGAAAATGTTTAGGATGTCCAACATTATGATATTGACTACATGGAACGTCGCCTGGACTTTACCTATGATAAAGTGAATTTTGCTGGTCTGCCAGAGTTCATGAAGGAGATGAAGAAGAATGGAAAGCACAATGTTGTGATTCTGGTAAATTAATGATTTTGCTAATTATTTCTCCATTTATAAGAACTATTTCTAGCATAGTCTTCATAGCACTACCTAGGTGCTAACACATGTATATTAGTGTAGCAGATTTTCCATTTTCTCATATGTTGAGAAGAGCTGAAGAAAAAAGTTTTCACAGATTTAATTTTCAGAAGTGTTGTCTTTATTCGATATCTCTCTTCCAGTATCATCTCTGTACCAAAACATTAATTCTGTGTAACTTTTTCCCCACTCAGTTATGAGAAATTTTGCCTCTGAGTTGACATTGCTTTCATGCAATTCTTTCCCTGAAATGAACAAATTGATTTAATACACATAGAAAAATAGCTGAATAGTGGAAAAAATTCTATTCCTAATCACTCTGGAATATATTAACTACAATCCATGTTTCTTTGTACTTACTTTTTATCTAAGTTAATGTGAGGGATGATTACTTGTATGCAAATTTGTGGAAACTGTATGTTGAGCCTCTAACCAAAACTGGTGTATGGCCAAATGAATTAATCTGGATACAAGTGAAATTGGAGTTTTCCATCTTCCCCAGTAAATTTTTCTGACAAAATTTGCTGGTTTTCTCCAGCACTTCCCTGTACATGTCCTTGTGCCAAAATGACTATGTCACAATAGCTAAGTGAGCACCAATGGTGGCAAGGAAACTGGAGACCAATTTAATAAAAATTTAAGTAAAGATGAAATTAAATAAAGTCCATTGATAAATTCAGAAGATCTTGCTCTCCAGGGTCCCCCAGCAGCTTAGCAGTAGGAGGGCTGCACTCCCCAGAGCAGGCTTCAATTTGTCCTCCATAACCACTGGGGGCATTTTAAATTGCAGCAGGACAGATTCAAGGCAAACCTTAGGGTGAAGCTGCTGGTCTGCAAGGTGAGCTGAGCAACAGACGTGATACACTGATTCAAATAAGTGTATTCTCCTTCAGCCTTTCTCTGCTAGGCTAAACAAACATATTTACCTACAATTATATTGATGGCTCCTGCTTTTAACGAGGCCTGGATTCAGTTAATCCAGCTGAATCATGATGGACAGGTCATTAATGTTTGGACCCTAAGTCAAACCAGTTCTTTTAAAATAAGGGTCATGTTCCTCTTCTTGCCCTGGGGGTCCTGTCAAAGGCTTGTGGAGAGAGAGACTGAACAGCAGAATCGTGAATTGTGGTACAGTACTGGTGTATCTGGAGTCAAGATAAGAAAGACCTACTGCAGTTTCCTCATCTAAAAATTACATTATCTTGTTAAATAGATAGGTTAAGGCAGAAGTGCCTCCCTCCTGTCCTTATTTTTTCCTCACAGTTTGTTGTGAAGTTTAAAACATGACTGAGGATGATGGACTAGTCAGCACTACAGATAGCTATATCAGTGTTTTCTTTTTAATTGTGAGTTTTCTGATCGTTTCTTTAAACATACCTTTTATTATTTGCCTAATCTTTGCTTTCGTGTACTATAATTTCATTTCCTACTAGGACTCTCAAACAAAACCACACAGCCTAAGTGATGAATTACATATTGATAATGGAAACAGCAGTATGCATACAGTGAATGCTGCTTGCATACAGCAGTATACATACAGTGAATGCTGCTTGCTAGCCTTTTGTCCCTAAAGATTCCTTCCCCTGAAGGTTCCATTCTGAGAAGCTCGGGGGTGCAGCAGTGAAATCAGTTTTCATCAGTGACGGTTCAAGGCACAGTGTTTAAATAGTAACAGATTACTAAGTCACTTTGATGGAGAGAAACTTTAAGACAAAAATAGACCCAAATTAAATGGATACATCATTGTAAATAACTAAGCAGTAGTGAGCACATGTGCTGTCAGGATTGATTGCTCTTTCTAGCTGTTAGGCAGTTTAGGCTCTCTGTAACCTCAATACTGCTCTAAAAATTGTCTAATCTCTTAGAGCTGTAACATTAAATACCACATGCCTATTTATTGGTTTATCTCAAAATAGTTTGGAAAACATTAATATAGGAGCAAAATACGAAGAGTTTGGGTAGCTCTTCCTGTGCACTCTTGCATTTCAGTAAATGCATGGTAGTCATTTCTTTATCATCACTGTTGGGATGTCTCCAGTTGTTTTGCACTTGCCACTGGGTATGAAGCTTGTACAGGCAAGCAGCTGTGGTTCAGTGGCTGAACTATATTATCTTCTTCCTTATGAGTTTAACTTCAACAACATTTTTAAAGCTCTTTCAGTTTCTCAGATGGCAAATTCTGCAGCAGTGCAGGTAGGTGTTGCTGTATAAATTCGTTAGACAGATGCAAGGAACATAGCAACTCTTAATTCATGCAATGAGCTAATGGGAATCCAGATAGGAAGCCTTTCTTTCATCTTTCCACTAACCTGTAACAAGGCCTGTCTTCTGCTCTGGTTCTTTAGCCAAGCTTGTGAAAAAAGAACAAAAGCTGAGCTAGTCTGTCCTTCATTGTTTAAAAGTTAATGAGAAGTATATGTTGCACTGGTACTGAAGTTTTCTATTTTCACTGTATTTCAGTTGCTGATATCTCTGTCAAAATCTGTCTGTTAGCATTCTTAGCAATGTAAAGTATTCCCCTACTTTGAGTCGGGAGGTGGAGCAGTGTAAAGGGTTTAATTTCCAAGTGACAGTGGGTGCAATCAAAGCAAATGTAATCCAGTTGAATACTGAAAAAACAATTTTCTATTTAGATTCCCTTTGGGTAGTGACAGTAATGGGTGAGTTCCCCAAATATAGCAGATTTTGCCTCCCTCATGATGCTTTCAGGAAATGGGCTCTGACTGCAGCCAGTTAGTGTCATGGAAAACCTCTAGTAAATGGATTTAGGGAATGGGTTCCATCTGTCATCTCAAGACTTTGGTCACAAGCAAAGCACAGATCCTGACAGCCAGCAGTACTGACACTGGCAGCCTGCCTGAGGATGGGACCCCGAACTCAGTTGTGCCACCATCACTGTGGTGGCTCTGCTACACCAGCAGGAGGTCTGCTCCCCATGCTTGCACCCAGTGCTGAGTATTGTATTTGTGGGGACCCTCGTGGCAGGAAGGAATGATTAATCTGACTCCATGTTCTCAGAAGGCTAATTTATTATTTTATGACACTATATTATATTAAAGAATACTATACTATCCTATTCTATACTATACTAAAGAATACAGAAAGGATACTTACAGAAGGCTAAAAAGATAATAATGAAAACTCGTGACTCTTTCCAGAGTCCTGACACAGCTTGGCAGTGATTGGCCATTGATTCAAAATAATTCACACCAGAAACCAATAAGACAATCACCAAACACATTCCAAAGGAGCAAAACTCAGGAGAAGCAAATAAGATAATTATTGTTTTCCTTTTTCTCTGAGGCTGCTCAGCTTCCCAGGAGAAAAATCCTGGGCTAAGGAATTTTTCAGAAAATATGAATGTGACAGCTGAGGGAAGGAATGATTAATCTGACTCCATGTTCTCAGAAGGCTAATTTATTATTTTATGACACTATATTATATTAAAGAATACTATACTATCCTATACTATACTATACTAAAGAATACAGAAAGGATACTTACAGAACGCTAAAAAGATAATAATGAAAACTCGTGACTCTTTCCAGAGTCCCGACACAGCTTGGCAGTGATTGGCCATTGATTCAAAATAATTCACACCAGAAACCAATAAGACAATCACCAAACACATTCCAAAGGAGCAAAACTCAGGAGAAGCAAATAAGATAATTATTGTTTTCCTTTTTCTCTGAGGCTGCTCAGCTTCCCAGGAGAAAAATCCTGGGCTAAGGAATTTTTCAGAAAATATGAATGTGACAGCTGAGAGCCCTCTGTGACTATGGTCACCTTGACAGTAGTATGGCTCCATTACTGCAGCCTCTAAGTGCAGCCCTTCAGCACTTCTCTCTCCTAATCTCTTTCAGAGGCCACCTCTATTTAGTGGAAATTGTGACTTTCCACATCAGCACCTGGTCATCATCATTCCACTAAGTAATTGTTTCACAGCATGTTTCAGCTGTGTCAGAACAAATATATTCTTTAGAAACAAAGAAGTTCTAAAGTAACAATGAGTACATTGAAAAATTATAAACAGTTTTACTAAAGAGGATCTTTAATGAAAGACCTTGTATACTGTCTATTAATTTATACTAAAGATAGAAACAGCTAGGAATGACATAAGTGATGAAATTCTTGAAAGTCAAGAGCAACATGCTCGTGATTCCACATAATGCTCAATATCTTTAACATTTTTAAGTCCAATTATGTGAGCTATAGAGCCAAAAATTTCCAGAGATGAGTTTTTATGGATGTGCATCAAAAGATATGTTTGGAGTGGGGCCGCAGGTGGAGGTGCATCAGGCTGGGTACATACTGGGGGCTCACAGGTCTTCAGGCAGTCAGCTGGAATTAAGGGTGCTCAGCACTTATTCCCCAAAATGCTAAAAAGATAAGTGAAGATTTAACAGACATGAAACTCCTTCCCCACAAACAACCCTTGCAGGCACAGAGAGCTTTTGTTTTCTTTAGGGCAATACTAAACCTGCATAATGTATTAGATTTATGCTCTGGAAAAACCTTTCAGCTGAAGGAAACCATAAGTTTGCATTAGGAGTAGCTAATTAAGCTGACTTCTTCTAGCCTGCATGTCCCTTGAGAGACATCTTTACCACAATTATAAGATAATTATTGCAGATGGACAGTTTTCTCTTGCAAAGTTGGACTATTGAACAAATTAAAAATGTAATGGACGCTTATAGTCCTTATGGAGGTGACACTAGAGCTAGATAAAGCTAAACAAAATTTTGGACTTAAAGTAGGTATTTAGCTGTAGCTTTTGTTGTTGAGGCATGGAAGAATACACTTCCCTCACCAGGGCTATAGTTATCAGACGGATCACAAGTAAATCAGGCAATTAATTCAGGTATTTAAATGAGATTTAAAACAAGCCTTTAAAGCAACTTACCATTTGGGGTATGATACTTTTTTTCTTCTTAAGACATTTATTAGTTAGACTTGTATCACATTTTTATTGAAGTTCACTTAAATTATAGCACAAGCTACAGCTGAGTGGAAGAATTGTTTCAATGGTGTTTTTCTCTATTGTGTTTTATAACTGACAGGTTTTGTCTAAAGCAGAATCTGAGGAAGTAAGGTTTTCCAAGAAGAAAGTAAAGAATTCCCTTCTAAAATGGCTGCAGTCTTTATGTGTTCTAAAAAACACAAAGCAGATAGTTGCTTCCAGTTAGGGATGTGTTGCAAAGTGCACTTACCTCCTTTTGGTTGCAGCTGACTGCTGGGCAGAGTTGCAGAGTACCTCTTCATTCACTGGCATCTCAAAGTATTCCTAACTTTATTGCTTCCCAGCATGGTGGGTGGGCCTCCATCATCACCAGGAGCTGGTCAGGCTCTCTTTGTATCAGCTTGGTGGCTACTGCTGGTCATCCTGAGGCAGAGAAGTTGTTGGTGTCAATATCAGGGGCGGCAGTGGGAGGTGGTGACCCCCCCAGGCAAGAAAGGGGCAGGAAGGACAAGCTGTGGGGTGTAAAATGCTGTGCTCTTGGTGCCAGGGGAGAGCAGAGGTGTGAGCCCCACAGGCAGGTGTGAATTAGGTTTCTCTGCGTCAGATTGGCATAACATATCCTTGTCCAACATTGGTTTGGAATGGAGGGCTATCAGGGCCCTTTTGAGGTTGGATGTGCCCAGCTTCAAGCCCTTTGAAAAGTTTTATTTATTCCAGCATTGAGCTGTTGATGCTGAGGCAGCTGGAATACAGACTGCCTTGGAGGAAACCCAGGGGTGCTCAAGTGAGGGAATGTCCAGCATAGCACCCAGCCACAGCAGAGACCTTGGTGGGGGGGAGTAAAATCTAGTGCCCCTCTTAAAATAATTTGAACATAGAAAGTCTCATAAAAAATAAACATGAGGGTATTTAGTAATTTCACATTGCTTTTGCCTTACACAAGAAATACTCATGACATATCCTTAATGACTTTTTCTAAATTACGTGCTCTCAACTCTTATTAAATTTTAATGCTATTTTCTTCCAATATTTTTGCAATCAGCATTAAGAAAACAGAATCCAAATTTTTCTAAAGTATAAAATAGAAGACTAATTGTTACCTCTGGGATTTCAATAAAGGAAGTGTGATTGCTCTTTTCAGGACCCTTTCATAACCAAGGATGAGGAGCCAGGCACTTACAGACCTTATGAACTCGGCCAGGAAATGGGAGTGTGGGTGAACAACTCTGATGGCGTGACTCCTGCTGTTGGGCAGGTGGGTTTTTTAACTTTGTGATGCCTTTTTTTTTGTATAGTGCTGCTTCAAAACAATAAAGCAGCAGTGTAATAGAAACGGGAAAATAACCAGGATTTACATATGTAACCCCCTAGGCCTGGCCTCCTGGAGATTCTGTGTTTCCTGACTACACCAACCCCAGGACAGTGGAATGGTGGACCCAGTTGTGTCTGGAGTTCAAGGACGTCCTTGACTACGATGGCATCTGGATTGTATGTCTCATTATATCTGCCCTTTCTTCTTTTAAAAAAAAAAGAAAATTAAGATTTTCACATGTCTTACTCTCTTTATTAAAGGATATGAATGAACCATCCAATTTCATGAGAGGCCAGATGCCTGGTTGTGCTGATACTGAAATCAATAATCCTCCTTACGTTCCTAGTATGTATAATAGTATATTTTCATTGCCATTAATTATTTATTAATATTGTATTTTTATTTCTATATTATATTATATTATATTATATTATATTATATTATTAATATTATCATTTCATTGGGGGGGGTTGTTTGTTTATTTGGTTTTCTTGTTTGTTTTGTTTTAAACCTGGATAGGCTATATTTTAGTGGGAAAAAAACCTATTCTCTGGCTTTCCATCTTTCCCTGCCTGTTCTGTATGTTCAATTACATATTTGTCAAGACTCCAGTGGCTCAGCTTTCATGGAGTGTCAAAAACAATCACTTTCCTCTGTCCAAGGTTCTGCCTTGTGAGGCTCCTGTCCAAGGTCCTGCCGCTGCCATTCTCTGAGCAACTGGTCCACATCAGAAAAAGGGCAAGATACCTATATACTGTAACTCATCTACAGACTTATGAAGTAACCCTTGCCACTGCTAGTCTTAGAGATGGGCAGTCTCTGCCTTCTCACAAATTATGACAAAGGAGATGGTGCTTTAGTTCAATATATTTCCTTTCTCTTAGGAAAGAAATTTTCACTGTGTTACTAGAAATGGGCGAAAAATAAGTTTTAAAATGTCTAAGCCTATGGGAAACTTACAGGAATGGGAAAATCTCTTCCAGTAGCTGAGTTAATGATATGCTCGTTCTTCCCCAGGAGGCCATGAGTACCTATGATTATTGCCAGTGGTGTGGCAGTTAATCCAGCCAACATTTCCCCAGGAAAGCCCAGCTGCCTGAGCAGTGTTAATATGCAGTAGGAAGCTGATACAGAGGGTTGGAGTATTGGCGTGGAGTATTGGAAATGTCCCCTTTTTCCTTTCAGGCTTTTGTACACTCATGAGAAGTCTACATTTTCTTTATTAAATGGCTTTTTCTTTTTTATTTTTTACTTTGAATATAAGAGATACATAAGCATAGCAAAAACATGACAAAATATTAGAAAGAGACTGTAAATTTTTGAAAGCAGAAGGAGAGCTTTTAATCATGATTTTGGTGTTTGCTCTCATTGTGGGGTAACCACTGCATACTTACCCTGTGGGTCTTGACGAAAGCCCAGGAACTGATGAGAATTTCCCCCTTTGCCTTAAATTACCTTCATTTTTTATCAGCCTTGAGAGCTGCATAAAAGATGTGAGACAGTGGGTAAACTGGCCAAAAGAGCAGAGCTCTCTTTACATCACAAATAGAGGACTGAGTGAACCCGTGCATGGCTTCTGAGCCATGCAGCTGAGCTCTGTGGAGATCAGCATTGACGTCTGAGCCACCAGGAGGGACTCGTAGAATCCCTAGAGGACTACATGACATGTAAGGACACTGAGAGATACTGAAGACAGGTGTGTTTTGAGCCCATTTTCTCTGCCTCCACTCATGCACATATGCCCCTGCTTCTGCTGATGACTCAGTGTTAGAATGATATCATGGAATCGTCGATGGGTTTGTGTTAGAAGGGACCTTCAAAACCATCTTGTCCCAGCATCCCTAGCCTGGGCAGGGGCACCAGACCAGGTTTCTCGAAACCCTGTCCATCCTGGCTTGAACACTTCCAGGCATGGGGCATCCACAGCTTCTCTGGGCAGCCTGTTTCAGTGTTTCGCCAGCCTCACAGGAAAGAATTTCTTCCTTGTATCTACTATAAACTTACTGTCTTGAAACCATTACCCTCTGTCCTATCACTTCATGCCCTTTTTAAAAGTCCCTCTCCAGGTTTCTTGTAGGTCTTGTTTAGGTATCAGAAGGGGGCTCTAAGGTCTTCCCAGGGACTTCCCTGGTATTGGTCTTCCTTCTGCAGCCAGGAGCCCTAGGCGTTACATCCCAACATGCAGGAAATCTATTTTGAACCAGTGTTTAAGGGTTTTCCTTTCTATTTCACTTTATAGAATAGGTGCCTGTTCTTAGCTGTCCAAGCCCTTGACTTACGTAGGCATCAGAGGTGCCCTAAGCTGTTTAGTCCAGTAAGACATTAGGACCTTCCCGGACTTAGCAGAGTTTTGGGAGCTCACTATAATCTTAGGTGATTTCATCTGTGCAAGTCCCACTCCCAGAGCCTCAGGCTTTTTATTAATGTAGCCTTCAACCTCCTTATCTAAATTTTATAACCATGATTGCACATAACCATGGTTTGAACTTCTGGTTAAAGCCAGATGTCCTTCAAATCAATTTTCTATCAAACACTTTATACTGAAGATTAATATGCAATTGTAAAATAATCAGTATTACTGAGGCAGAATACAAAATACTCAGAATAAGAATGAAGCATGAACCTATGATTCATGTGGTAGCATTTTCTCTCCTATCCCACCTTAAATTTATAGGGCTAATAATCAAGAACCACTGGGACATAAAGTGTGACTTTCAGAAACTTAGTGTATTCAAAGACGTATCGGTCAAAGTTACTTGGAAATTGCCTATAAATTAAGTTATTTCTGATGTAGATCACCAGCACTGGAGTCTTTGTGTCTAAAGATCCAAACACAAGGATTGTAGCTGTAGTGGCACAGCAGGGCTGAGAGGCTAATGGGATTTCAGGTACAGAGAAATTGTGATAATGAACTGCAGCCATATAGGAAGTGTGATTAGGCAGGGACATTGCTTGTTCTTGGAGAAATATTTATAATAGTGCATGCACCTAATGAAGCATGAAAAAAATTTTTTTTTGAGAATTCACTTTTGTTTTTATTTTGAGAAAATTTTATTATATTTGCAACTCCATCTCTAAAAATAAATATAATGTTATCTTGGTTTGAAAGACAGCTGCCTGCTAAGTAAGGCAGGAGCGTCCCTTGGAATGGAAAATGTAAACCCCCTCCCTCCAAATTATTAAATTTTGAAATTAAGGGGCTCTCAGGCAAAGATGTGGGAATAGCAATAGCAGTTCTTTACCAGTGTGTGTACCAAGGCAAACAAAGCAACAGCAGCTACAGCATCCATAGCAAACAGAGCCGGAGCGCGCTGACAGCCTCTGGCCGCGGCCCTTTCCCCTCCGTGCAGTTCCGGGCACGGCCGGCAGGGGCGCTGCTGCTCCCGGCGGGCGGGGCGGGTGCCGTGATTGCCCCGCGCCTGCAGGGGACGCTGTGGCGTGGGCTCGGGGAGCGCACGGCAATGGCGGCTGGGCCCAGGTGGGAAGGGAGGGCGGAGAGGCTTTGCTCCACAAACCCTGGGGCAGCCGATCCCAGTGCCACAGCAGGACTCTGTGAAGCAGCAAGCTGGGCTGGCAGGACGTCTTGGCAGGCAGGGAGTGAGGGGCTACAGTGCAGCAAAAACTCAGAGCAGTGCTGAAGAAGCAGTAGGGCCGGGGCAGCGGCGGCCCAGCTCCCAGCAGGGCAGGGAGAGGCGAGCTCAGGATCCCGGGCACCCGAGCAGATGGGGACAGGTCCCTCTTTTAGTGAGGTGGGTGCTAGTAAGGTCCCAGTTCCGTGGCTGCTCTCACGAGCAGAGGGTCACCCAAGGCAGAAGAAGCACCTCTGGGCTGGGCTCTGGCAGCGAATTCCCTTCCCCAAGCAGCAGCTCCGACCGTTCCCTTCTGAAGCCGAGAGAAAGAGAGCCAGCAGCTGCCCCAGCCCTGTCCTTTCCCTGCCCACTCCTCCTGGTGTATCTCCCCTTGGAGAGAAACTCCCAGACAGGAGAAGTGCAACCAGATGCTCTCCTCCCCTGAGCTTGGCCGCTGAGCTAAAACACTGGGAAATTTCATACCACAATGGAAGAGCCAAAGCAGGGGTCCATGTGTGGCCTGTTTCAGCATTTAGCACTCATTTTCAGAAGCTGGCTTCTGATAGCATCCAGAGGGCTCGGTTAAGTGAGCTAATTCTGGTGTTGTTGTGTTTGTATTTTATATGCCAAGTCCAGGGCAAAGGAAGTCCTGGGAAAAACCAGAAGTAGTTTGCTAGCTCTTATGGGCCTGGCTGAAGCACAGTTCTGCTTTTGAGAGAAAGAACAGGAAGCCCTTGAACCTTGGACTTCTTCCCATGGTTTTTGGGCCCCTATTCCTCAGTCTTCGAAGAGATCCTCCCAACAAACTTGTTTGCTTGGCCAAATGTGGAGAAGACCACCAAAAGTATATGCAGGGGTTGATTTTGCTGCAAAGCTGGGAGACATTGCTGAAGTATTTTTTGGTACATATTTATTTGGGTTTTCCAAATAGATTTCTTTCAAGACCGGTTGTATATCCCTTCTGCGTTCACTCTTCACAAAGAATATATTAAATGAAATTACTGACAGGAATATTTAGCACCAGCATCAATTGCAGGATATTGGATGAAAATGAAAGACAATTTCATAATCATATAAAGAAACAATTCTAAGAATTATTCTAAGGCAGACAGAGAATAGGAGATGTGTCATCTAGCCTATGTCAAATGGTTTGAATTTGAATACATAAACTAGCAGCAATCAGTTTGTGCATAGCTTAATGGCAAGAGTTATCTGCACATGATATTCTGTAAATAATTTAAATCAACAAATGCATTTGACAACATTAGGACCTGTTGTGCAATGGTTCGTGAAAGACTGAAGTTATTCAATAAATTACTTGTTACAAATTGTTTTTGCAGCTCTGGATCATAGTTGAGTTGATCTGATATTGCCCTCATTAGCACCTGTATTTGCTCATGGAGCCAAAGACAGCCAGAGGAGAGCACTCCTGCTCAAGACATCCCTGAAAAGCTCCAAAATAACATTTATATGAAGCACATGGAGTCTTGTGCAGTTATTGGCCCAACAGTGCACCTGCAAACCAGAACCAGCAGGTCCCTCAAGGTTAAAGAACTGCACCTCTTGCTGCATATGGCCCCTAGGGTTAATACATCCAGTCTTCCATGAAAGCTGCTGGGGTTTTTTGCTTCAGAAGCAAGTGTTGAAGCACTTTAAAGTCTCTGTGCCATTACAGACCCAAGAGCAAACATTGGGACATTATGAATAGGGGTGAAAGAACTCTTGATGAAATACCATTAATAAAAGGAAGAAAGAAGTAGATGGTGAACAGCATGATTATTATTTCATGCTAGAATTTCCCAGAGGATCTAAGCTGTGTTGCCCAAATCATATTAAAGCAGAGTTGGATTTGAGTTCCTGCAATATAAAATACTACAATTTACAATTGTATACAAAGAGGATCCTATTCTGAGGAATTTTTTGTAATAGATTTGTTAGTAAGGCACATTCCCTTGATTTTCTGGTGATACAGCAAAATTATTTTCAAAAAGCAAAGATAAATTCATTGTACAACTAATTCTGTAATGAAACCTCATATATCAAAAAAGACAGGAAACCAGAGAAAATACTACAAGGGTGGGGTGGCATTTTGAATTATTTCAGGTTTGTTTTCTGTATTGATTATTTATTTTTTATTAGATGTTTAGATATACTTTTGATATTTTTGTGTGGTTTTGGTTTTGTGTTTTGTTGGGATTTTTTTTGTGTTTTTAATTCCTAGGTATTGGAACTTTATTTACCAATACAAATCTCTAAATAAATCCTGTGTTGAAAAAAATACATATTACATTCTTTTTTAGGAATTCATTGGACACTTAATTAAATACACTAGTATAGAAAGGAAATTATGATTTGAATTTTCATTTCGAGACACTGCTGAGAATAAATTAAACACAAAACATTATTTAGGAATATTAAAAATACTTGAGGCAAATTGTTTAGTGAATCAGATAGATTTTTTTGTTTGTTTGTTTGTTTTGTTTTGGCCACTGTGTAAATCTTCCTTTTATTTGCAGTTTTGCAGCCACATTTTCATGTGAGTAGGGATCACAATAATAATTGTTTCATGAATAATACCCTTTCAGATAAAATTGTGCCTGAATGCTCAGGTTGATTTGAAGATGTTTGGGTTACCATTCTTGTTTTTGATGATCTTGTTGCATTTCTTGGCAGCGTTGTCCAGCAGGCTACTGGAAAGCGGGCATTTGTCTTGAGTCGCTCCACGTTCGTTGGCAGCGGCAAGTACGGTGCTCACTGGCTTGGTGACAACTTCTCTCAGTGGAAGGACCTGCGCCGCTCAGTCATTGGAATCCTGGAGTTCAACCTCTTTGGCATTCCCTATGTAAGTCTGGCATCCTCTAGGCAGGTGCTGGCTTATACACGGTATCACTTCAAATTAGCTCAGATGTTTTCTGAAACAAGCTGCTTGAGATGGCCAGCAGTAACAGCCTAAGGAGCTGCAGATTAAAAGGCTAAATGTCAGTCTTGGCTGCTGAAGGGAAACAAAAACAGCACTGCAAGATTTGGACTGACTTAATGTATGCCATCCAAAGCTGATCTCTTTGTATTACGTACTCTATGATTAGGGTTGCTTTATATATTTCTGGGTTTGCAAGTTGGGATGGAGAATTTGTAGAATTATTGAAATATGGTCAGATCTTCCACAGTGAACTTAGTGCTCTAGGAGACCATACAACCTCAGTCACAGAAAAATTTGTATCATATAGAGATGATACATTATTATAAAGTAATTAGAAACAGGGATTCTATTCTTATAAAGTAATTAGAAACAGGGATTTCTTTCCAAAAATTATTTTTATTAGCAAATTTCTGTAGTTTCTCATTTGTGGGCCTCAGTCACAATCACAAACACAATTTAATTTTTCCTTAGATTGGTGCTGATATCTGTGGGTTTAACTACAACACTACCTATGAACTCTGCCTGCGCTGGATGCAGCTTGGCTCTTTCTATCCATTTTCCAGAAATCACAATTCGGAGGGAAACATAGTAAGTAAACAAAGTTACATAAAGCTGTAGCCTATGATTACAGTTATGTGGACAGTGATTTGTATTGCTTTCTCCAAAACTAACCTGCCATTCTTGGGTAAACTGGAGCAGTAGGTGAAAAGGAGTGCTGCACTGAAAGCAGGAATTACACAGTGAAATGTAAATTTTTCCCATCTATAATGTAAAGATAACATATAAACACTGGTCTTCTCATGCTCTTGATAAAATTCATCTGTTTCATTTTTACCTACCAAAGCCCAGGTTTTATTTAAGAGCCAGTGAGTGTTGGGATATCTTCCTACTCCCTTGATTGCTACAACTTTTGTTTCAATACTTCTGTAGTTATAGTAAGTATTGCAGGGAGGGCAGAGAGATCATTATATACCATGCTTGCTGTTTAAAAGCAGGTTACAAACATGTGAGAATTCCAAGGAGCGGCACCAGTAGCGCCATCATTATCAGCCAAGAGGCAACCAAGACCAGAAAAAGCTAATGAGGCCATGAGATGAATGAAAAAGTGCAGCTTTAGTCCAGATTCATGCCCTGGTTTCAACACAATAAAAATCCTTTAAAGACTTGTTGCAAACGGAAAGAAGTATCAGGTCATTTCTCGCTATGAAGTTTGAAGGTCTTGCAACCTTTGTAATTTTTCTGTGTTTATCTGCAACCGTGATGAAATGGTTCTGCTTGTTCAAGAAATGTTTGGGGTTTTTTCCCTTCTGTAAACTGATCTGTGCAATGCTGGAGCTCAGGTTATTTGCTAACCTTCAGTTTCTTTGAAGTTGCATCATCAAAGTGCTGCAACATTTACACTCCCAGGGAGACCTTTGTCTCTGCATGAAAATTATGGATGTTCAGCAATTGGGCAAATGCAGGAATAATAAACCATGGTACTATCATTAAGAGGGTCAGGAATTAGCCTGTAGATCCCTGTGGTATTTCTTTGTAGGAGAAGAAGTGTCTGTGAGGTGTTGGCTGTTGATGTTGAGAAATATTTTCCTTTTGCCTCTCCAATAAAGTTAGAGGTGTACATATATATATATACTTATGTGGTTGCTTGGCCCTTTGAGCATGCAAACAGTCTGACCTGGGTGAGTGGATATCAATCTCGTATGTACAATTTAATAAACAAGAAGAGAGGAATGGGTCTATATGATGGGTGCTGCAACTGAGAGATATAGTTGGTTTTATTGGATTACTTAAATCCATTTAAAATATTGTGTTCACAGAAAGAAATGAACAGGCATTTTGGGTGACTCAGCATCACCTAAGAAGTCTGACTGGTTTTTTGTGAAATTAAGCAGTGTTTGTACAGTGTCAGAACACTGGTAAAAACATAGTGCAATTTTTGAAATAATAGATGGATGCTCTGGAACTCAGAGCCAGCAGGGAGTATTCTTAGTGAGTAATTCTGATATAAACATAATAATGGTGAAATTTTACTTAAATATTGAATTTAATTAACATTAGGTTAGTGTTAAAATAAAATCTTAAATACCCACTTTGCCTAATTCATTGGGTATTTCAAACAGTTCAATTAATATTTTTCTTGTCTGAAAAGCACTAGATAATATAAAAAGCTTTGTTACTTCTGTTACTTTTGCGTTTCATTATCCTTGTAATTCATCATATAGTCTTCGGCTTTAATGAGCAAATTGAATACTCTGGAAAGATTTCATGAAGCAGAAAGGGAGCCATGTGATTTGTAAGCTGGGTGTCTACACTGGAGAGGTTGACAGGAGGAATTAAAGGAGATGTAGCTCTTTCCCATATCAGCACAGCCCTTGGCTGTGTGCTCTGCCTGCCATCCCAGGGGAGAGGCAAGGTTGTGTTGGAGTAGGACTAAAACCAGCCAATGAATACAGACAGGCTGCTCCAACCTGCCCCTTGATGGGGGCACCCAGTGCATGCCCTGTCTCACAGGAGAGCATTGCTGGCAGTGAGGAGCTGAGGGGCACTGCTGATGTGTGGGTGTACTGTCAGTCAGGGCATCCTAAAATGGGGCACACAGGAGGAGAAATCAAGCTTCTTGAATAGATGAAATGTTTTCTGTACCACACACAGTGACTTTGGTCACCTGTTGGTTTCAGCAGGGTTATGAGTTTACTCTTTTACCTAGACTTGCCTTTATATTTGTGGCCAATGTAATTATGCTTTTGACTTTGATCTGCAGATTATCAGTCTTCCCTTTTTCCTGTGTTTCATCTCCTTTGTCTGAGAGGCCTTGCATTTCCAGGATAAATTAATTTCTAGGTGCCAGGTATCTGTTCCTGAGCACAGGCATGGAGCCCCAGCTTCCCTCTCCTCACAAGGTTAGGGGTGGTTGCAGAGGGCTCACATACATTGTGGTGGGGCCTGATTGCTTTGAACTCACTGGAATTTTTCAAGTTAAGAATTTTATACAAATGTTAGTTTGGGAATAATGGATGTTGTTCTTAATATATCTTGCAGTTTGCAAAATTGCTTTTTCTTATTTAAACACTCACTTCTGTAGCATCATGCCAGCCGCAGCTCTCCTTATGCTGCACACAGTTTCTCTGCTGAGTTTGTTTCAATGCTTAGTACAAATCTAAGCTTTTCCTGAACAGGAACAAGACCCAGCTGTGTTTGGAGATGCTTTTGCCAAGATATCTCGTGCTACTCTTCGGATCAGATACTCTCTGCTGCCATACTTATACACGCTGTTCTACGAGTCTCATGTTCACGGAGGCACGGTGGTGCGCTCACTGATGCACGAGTGAGTTTGGAGTCTCTTTTTCATTCTAATTTGCTCACAAGTAGTTGAGCTTTTATGTATGCACTGGTTGATATCCTTAGGATAATAGTCACAGTATTATTATTGCATACTCTCTTTTATAGAACAGTTGAACAGTTAAATCAATCAAGTTATATGCATAAAGATGACTCTTAATATATGCAATTAATTTCCATTAATATATAACCTGTATTTGTTTCCAGTGGGGGGAAAAAGACAAACTTAAGAAAGAAGAATTCTGAAAATTTTTAGTCTTAGGCAAATATGTAGTTCTTTTTTATTTAAAAAATGAGAGTCACATACCTGTATTTTCTGTATTTGAATGAAATCAATGGAATCTGTATTCTGATCCAGAATGCTAAAAGGCCTCATACAGAGAGTCCAATGATCCATAGCATTTGGTTTTTTTTCCAGTTTAGCACTTGGATCTGCATGCTATCTGTGAAACCCACATCTGTGTCCACAAATTGCACAGAGCAAACAGAGATAGAGATGTTTGAGGGTAGAAGCAGGTGCAAAACTGAGATTAATAATTGGAGACTGAAAAGCCCCTTTGAAAATTAAGCTCACATTTTTGGAATAACTCATATTTTCTTTTCTGGAAGAAGCTGGAATCCAGCTGAGGTTTAGTTTCCCTGTCCTGATCTTTTAATTAGTTTTTTACCTGCTTTTGGTTAATTTTCTAGTTCAGAATGCTTTATGCAAAGACTTGAGCAAAAGGAGTGCAAACAATACATATGAAAGCCTGAAGTTCTGCCACAATTTCATTTCATTGGTGCAGTTTATGCATTGGTGCATATACTGTTTAATGTTCTTTTTTCACCTTTAGTTTAAAAACATTCTGGTTAAAGGGTAAGGCATTTTTTGCAAATTAAACTGAGGTCACACTAACACAAACCATTCAAGTATGGAAAGGATATGCACAAAATCTGGTTTGCTTACTCAGCATAATGGTTAAGTGATAAATTTTAAAAGCAGTATCCTTCCTCTTTCTACTTGGCAATGTCATTTTTCTGGATAAAATTAGGGAGAATTTTGTAGGTACTCATAACTTACAATTGGCTATATGCTATTTCAAGTATTTATTTTAAGTCTATTTTTGCTTAATGTGGTTTGTGTTAATACTGGAAATGCCCAAGTTAATTTTGGCATTAATATTTGCTAATCTCTGCTAATACAGAATTGCTCTAGTGTCATTAAAGCTGCCTTTCTGACCATACCAGTATACAGCCTCTATGTGGGCCATATCCACGTCGGCAAATTTCCACATTTGCTTTGATTAGAGTTGTAGAGCAGTCTCAGATACACCAACAGAGGCTTTTGGCAGATGAAACTGAGCTGAGAGGTTCACTACAGACACTGATGGGAGCTTAGTCAGCAGGACCAGAGTGGGATTACTAGGAAATAAAACCTCTCAAATGCATGTAAGTAGGGTAGGCATCAGGAGAGCAACACAAACTGTTTCCCTCCCCAGTGCCCCAAGTGGTATCCTAGTCCCATCACTTGTTAATGTTGCCATAGCTAGATCCTAAAATGGGTTAGAAGTGTTTCTTACTACTACTAGTTAGTTCTGGTTACTATTATTCACTGCTATTACTTAATGTGTATTTCTTACTATTTCTAAGTAATATTAAGCAGTTTAGTAGTGAGTCTGCCCAAGTAGAGAAGGTGACCCAGATGCTAACAGGAGGGGAAATGTGGGTTTTGAGAAAGAGAACCAAAACAGAATTTTCAGTGTATGGATGATGGAAGTTTACATCAGCCTTGCCTCTTACTTGTAAAAAATACAAAGTAAAACTAAAAAACTCATGTATTAGTGAAGTTCTTACAAGTTCAGAGTCCTCGCCATCAAAACAACTGTACCCAGGCAGGGAGTCTCCAAGCAATAGCTGTTCCATGTGGACATTTCATTCCCTTTGGAACATTTAGGGGCTTGTTTCAAGTAACAAACAAGAACAACATCCCAGTAGATCCTTTTAAGTGTATTTGGTACCTTGGAGGCTTTCACTCCATAAAGCAGAGGCATTGATACCTCAGGTGTCCAAGACTGTGAGGTGGTAATCCATTAGTGGAAGGGAAAGGTGTTTAATGGCTAACCAGAGGGGAAATAAGACAGAAAAGAGGCCATCATCTAACCAGAGGAAGCAGTAGATAGAATTAGAGACCCTTCATAGATGTCAGCAAGCTTTAATGGCTTATATTTTCAAAATAGCAAAGTTCATTTGTTTGCTGAATTTGTGCTAGTAGTTGCTATAATTGCAAGAGAAAATTGTGCTGAGTTAAAGGGTGAGAATCTTGTTTCCGTGTACAAATATGATTGATTCTTCTTTATTCATAATTTCTTGATCAGCTTTTTTTCCTGCAATCTCCCACAACAAAATGCATTTTATTACTATTACAGTTTTATTACAGTCAAATTAAAAATACAGAGAACCTATTGAGATGACACGAAAAGCTCATTTTTTATATTTAAAAAACTTTAGGACAAGGTAATTCATCAAAAACCATAATCTGCTTTAAACATTTAAAAGTATTATGTCACAATGCAGTAGTGACCAAGATTAAGGCGTCCAAAAGAGCTATTGTTCTGGACAGAAAAAGAAACTCTGAACAAATTGAGGTTTCTTTCAAGTAGAGCCCATGGCATGCCTTCAAGAATGTTTTTTCTTAAGTTCTATGTATTCCCCTAAGTTTGCAATATTTTAGCAATCTGAGCACTCAATAGGTGTCTTTTTATTGCCAAGTTATCTTTACTTTTTTGGGGAGATTTCTGTAAGCCTGGGCTGGGTGCAGTGTGTGCCTTTGCCCCAGGCAGGCAGGGTGTGGAGCAGGGCACTGACACTGAGCTGCTCTGTTCCAGCCAGTGTTCAACACAGACCTGGCTTTAGACAGGGGCAGCTGCAAAGCCCATGAAACAGACACTGTAAAGGAATTTTTAAACAAGGAGTTTATACATCCTTAGAGAATAGTATGTAAATATGCAATAGCCAGTGTGAATTTGTCAAAAATGCATGAAAACCAGACCAGTTACCATCTCTGACAAGGCAACAGGGCTGTTGGAGTGGCAGAGGAGTAGCAGAAGTCAGGAGGTACATGGTACTTTGATTTTAGGAGGATTTGAGATACGGATTTTTTTGTGTATGTGATGTTCTTAGAAGAACTAGGATCCATTAATTATTTCCTCAGGAAGAGACTTACAGATGATTGAAAAACTATTTAAATTCTCAAGGATTTTATGCTGTATGAAAGGAGGTTCCTAAGTTGGGAAGGATCTCTCTTCTTTGCCAGGTGCTAGTCAATATTTTCATTAGCTGATGCACGGTGGAACAGAGATCTCTTCCCAAGAGAAGGCAAGTGAAGCCAGGCAAACGGGACTGTGACCATTCTGGAGAACATGATCAGAATCCAAAACAATTTTAGTGCATTGAATAAAATGGACTGAATTCCATAGATTTTCCATCCATTCAGGAGAGACAGCTAAAACAATATGTACAATATGTATGAGTGTTGCTCTGTGTTTGTCTTGCAAACAAATTCAAATGTAAATCTGTGAAAGCTGTGGGAGGCCAAATCCAAGGATTTTTCACAAATGCTTTAGATCCTAGAGCACAGTGTTTTTCCTCTGTGTTCCCTCTCCTGGGCCTGGCCCCTGTCCTGCTTGTTGGCTCCCACAATGAAGTCTCAGCCCACTGAACAGAAGTGAGTTGTTTTCCCACTGTTGCTCTTCTGAAAAGAAATCAGCTTTATCATTTTGTGAGAGTTCTGGTCTGCTCTGGGATGGTAGGTACTACTGAAATATCTGAATCTCTGTCCAGCTTTTGGCATTCCCTCAATCAGGAAAAATATTTGGCTGTGTTGAAGGTTACTTTGAGGAAGCAGATTTCTTGTCACAGTGAGTAATATCAAAATATGTGGCAAATTCTAACAACTGTGAATTAACATTGTGTATTTAACTTTCAAAATAGATTTACTTCTGATCAGGAGACTCACGGAATAGATACTGCCTTCCTTTGGGGATCTGCCTTTATGATTGCTCCTGTTCTTGAAGAGGCAAGTACTGTAATTAAAAATGCTATCATACTGGAATAAAAGAAACAAGTGGTGCTTATGGCATTGGATGACATTCAGAGCATGTTTGCTCATATCCATCCCTTTCTACTCTCCACTGTCAAAGCTTCAGAGCGCATTTCTGAGCAGCACAGACAGTACAGAGCTTCTCAGTACTTGAAGTGGGAGGATGAAAGTGAGGGCACAGCCTTTCCCTTCTACTCCCAAGTGAGGAAAGGATGTAAAGAGGCTGGATGCTGCCCCTCACGTGCTCCTGTTATTGTGCTGGCAGCAGTCTCCAAGGACACACACAGAGCAGTAATTGTTGAGCTAGGAAGAAACACACAGATATGAAAGCAAACTGGTTTCCATATTACTGCTCACCCACAGTGTTTTGGAACTGCAGCTCTCAGGGGCTCTGGTAGGAGTTTCCCAGCATCACAGGCAAAGGCAGTCATTATGGAAACGATAATGATAATGTAAGCTGCTAACAGGACAGGTTTTAAAAAGCAGCATTTTCCTCTGCTGTGCTGGGCACATGGCTCTCCCTGCTTGGCTGAAGCAAGGGTGTGTTTCTCTCCTTGCCCACCACTGACTGCTGGCAGCACAAGAGAGGTATGTCTGAGCAGATCTAAGTATTTGCATGGGATGTATCCTAGTGCTGTTTGCAATCAGCATGCTGACAGAATAGCTGATATATTTCTAGATGTTGCTGATGATCAAACATTTAAACAGGACACTGTTACCTGGTTTTTTAACCAACCCTTTTGTCTCTGTGAATTTAAGAAAAAATTAAATTCTAAAACCATTCTGACCCCACTGAGGCACTTCATTCATCAGTCCTTTATCTTCAGACTCCCACAGGTTTCTAATAGCTGAAGAGTAGAAAGAAGATTTCACAGGGTCTCAGACCAGCAGGATGATAAACAATGGGAAAAAACCCCTTCCCATGAAGAGGAAGTGACAAGCCAGGAGAGGCTTCCTGCAAAGAACTGAATAAAAGGGGACATTATAAGGATGTATGAAATGATAGGGGGTCGAGATAAGGAGTTCCTGATGTTTTTTAAAGAACTGCAGCACAAAAGGAAGGCTGCCTGTGACGTGATGGGGGAAGCAGAACTTTGAAGGCAGCACATTGCTGGGTCTTGCAGTGTGATAGCTGGCAGCCAGGGCTGTGCCAGTTGGCAGGGCTGGGGCAGAGGTGAGCTGTAAGCCCCTCACTGTGGCAGTGCAGGCCAGCAGTGACTGTGTCAAATTGCAGCTTAGCATCTGCTTGTGTAGAGAAAATGAGTCAGGGATGACTTGACCTTCAGTCCTTGAGTCCTAGGATGAGAGCAAGTGAGACATCAAAAAAAAAAATCAGAATGGAGAACTGCCTTGCACACTGGTTTGTTATTTAGGCAGTTGTGAAGGTGAGGTGCACGGAATCATGGAATCATAGAATAGTTTGGGTTGGAAAGGACCTTAAAGATCATCTAGTTCCAACCCCCATGCCATGGGCACAGACACCTCCCACTAAGCCAAGCTCCTCAAAGCCCCATCCAACCTAGCCCTGAAATCATCATGACTCAGGTGATGGTTGCACACATTGCTGTAGACCAGAATATTCAAGGTTGTCATAATACCACAGAGAAGAGATGGAGAGGAGAACATCTTGCCTTTATAGGGTTTTTCATATATCTAAAATCCCTAAAATGTCAGATGGTAATTTTGCCTTAAGTCTTCTCTTCCACCTTTACTTTTCTTGTTCCACAAGATTCCTGGGGTAGTCCTTGGGGTTAATCCATAATTCTGCAAAGGGACAAACATCTACACTGATAGTAAAAATTAATCTGTTTGTGAGAATAAGCAACTTGTAACAAAATTTGAAGTATGTTTTGATCCCAACTGTTCCTGGAGTTATTAATACAAAGTGCCTTTAGCATGATTACATCCCTGCAGCGTTCTGACACAACACATGCTGCAAAATGAAGTACAGTAATTGTGCAATTAGCAAAACATTTATTATTTATTATTACTTATCTGCAACTTTAAATTGTTTACAAGAAGAGAAGGATGTGCATCCTCTCTGTGCTAGAGCTTGTTCTCTGCCTGTTTCTGGGACAGGAGTGGTGCAAGGGGCAGTGAGCAGTGCTATCCTCCCACTTCAGATGTGGAGCCCTGTCTTGGAAGATCTGCCATAGCCATTGCTAGGGCTGCTGAGATGTTGGAGGAGTGCACCTAGGCCAGTTACATTTACAAGACACAGGGCTATGTACTAGAATAAAATAATCATGTAACATTGACTCATCCCAGGCTATGGCAGTAAAAACCCCCAAATAGGATAGGCTTGTCTGTTTAGTATTACAGATTAGCCAGCACTAGTCCACTGCTATGACAATAACTCAGCCATAATATTCAAAATTTGATGTTATTAGAATATTCAGCATACATCTCTCCATGCACAAATATAATAAAGCTAATGTAATATCAGAAATACAAAAATAAAAAAGACTAATCTCTTTATAACAATTACAGGGAGCAAGATCTGTGGCTGTATACTTCCCTGAAGCACAGTGGTTTGACTACTATACTGTAAGTATTCTTAAGATTAATTTTCTTACTTTTTTCCCTAATAATTTTTAATGGTACAATTCCAGCAAAATGACTTTTAGCAATCTTCAGTGGTATTTTTACCTCTGTAGATGAAGAAACCTAGAGAAAAAGAAGTCTGCATCAGGCTAGCTGGGAGAGTAAATGACACAGCTTTCAGTAACATTTTGTTTTCTATTTTTGCCATGTAAAGCTCTAAGACCCAGCAAACAGAATTTTCAAGAGCAGCCTAGACATGCATGAAAATGCCAGGATTTCTTTCTTTGCCCCCCACTTTTAATTCTTATTCTGGTACACTTCCACGCACAGAGACAGAGGCAGAAACCTAAGCCACACTCCTGAGAGCATGCCACAAACCCTCGTGTGCATGTAATTTTGCACATGTATCACTTTTGACAGAAGGCATATTTGGAGTGCAAGGTGAGGCACCCCTCTGGAAGATGCTTCCAAGAGCTGCAGAACAATCTGCTCTGTGGGACATGCCAGTACCTTCTCTTCAGGGCCTGAGTCTTGACCTTTCCAGCACTCTCCCCAGGACTGCATTTCCAGAAGTGCTCTGCTGCAATCTGCAGGCTAAGCCCAGCTTGGCTTCAATGGGAGCAGTTAAACTGATGCTAAGAGCTTTCAGAAATGTGAGCCCAGGATCATCAGGCTGTTGTTAAGTCTCCTGAGTGTCCCTGGCAGAGGAGCAGGCAGGGCAGAACTGCTCTCAGAGGAAATGCAGACTTTTTTTAAAATAAGTTTGGTCATTTTCAGCATTTGGCTGGTGTCCTCATCCAGCCCTTTCTTTTTTCTCTTTTCATGAGAAAGTTCAGCATTTCATGCAAAGTCCAGCATTTAATTCAACTCTCCTCATGGTTCCCTCTGAGCCCCCTTGCTGTGCTGGGCACAGGGGCAGTGGCCTTTGTCCCTTGCCCTGCCTATGTGCCTGCCCCTGGCATTGCTCACCTCCCAGTATTTGGCATTTACTTGTCATGCACATGGTGCATTTCCAAACCAAAGTTGGGTACTTGCCATAAATCATAATTATCATTTACAGAGGGCAAGAGCAAAGCCTTCCTTTTATTTTCTCTGTACATAAGTCTTTTTTTTAGGTTTTGAGGCATTAAACCAGAAAAGGATGATGCAGAGAACTTAATGCTGTTGTCTACACACACACAAATTTCACTCTCTGAATGCTGTAATTACTTTTTGAAAGGGGAAGAATTGTTCTTAGAAGAAAATCTACAGTTTACATTCCCCAATGACTATGAATCACTTACCTTAAACTGAATTGTGACAGGCTCCCTATGTATAAAAAGAGGAAGCAAAAGGTTTTATTTTTCTTTTTGCTCAGTGTCTTAATGGGTGGGGTTTTTTTAACAGCATATGGAATAATGATACCATTTTAAAAGACCATTTGCTGTCTTTCAGTCATGATGCTTCTGTCTCAGGCATATGCATAACTGCAGAGGCTAGATCCTCTTTCATGTTAAAAAGGAAACTGGAATAACACTTCTGAAATCCTTATTTTAGTTTGTTTTTTTCACTGATGTAATTGAAATGAAAATTTACCCCTTGCTCTCTTTTTCAGTATGTATACTGCCTGGATTGGCATTTTTTTAACTGCATTAATTTTTGTGGTAGGGTCTTAAAGTGCCGAATTCCTGGAAGAAGAGCTATGTTACTGTGTCTGCCCCACTGAACAAGATCCCTCTGTACATCCGTGGAGGGTACATTCTGCCTCAGCAGGCACCAGCCACAACCACTACTGAGAGGTAATGTCCCCTGTGTTTGTCACCAAGCAGCCACGGTGTGGGTCAGACCCACAGGCAGTCAAAAAAGCAATCAAAAGGAAGTACAGAAGAGAGACTAACTGCAGCTCCCAGCTGCCATCCCAAGTGATAAGTACAATATTTTTATACCAGTATTCGTTCCATTTCATTGGGAGAAATCACCTCAGAGATGACCCACGTCACTGTTAGCACAGCTGACGCCTACTCCTGGCTCTATGATTGTGCTCAGAAAAGCTTTTGCACCTCTTACTGCCACACTGACCTGCTGTCAATCATTCAGACTAAATGTATGCAAGGGGAAAAGCAAAATTGTCCTTGGGTGAATTTATCAAATGCTGTAAACAAGGTGGAAAAGTTCAAATCTTTCTTCAGGAGAAATATTTCCCCATGCCAATGGATGATATACTGGTCTCAAATCTGAATCATGCTCAGAAGCTAATCTGAGTAGGAAAGAGAGGGGACAGCACTGTGCAGCAGCCATAGTAAGGTAGTACTGGTTACCAGTTGACTCCCAGACCATCCAGTTATCGCACACTGAGGCCACAAAAGGAGAGGGAGCTTATCTACATGAGCACTCAAAATATGAGAAATCTAGACGTCAGTAGGACAAGGCAAGGCAAAGACTTTGCCATCACTTCAAGAGTCCTTTTGGTAAACACTGTTGTTATTCTTCTGTCATGACCTTTTTTGTAACCTTAAAATGGGAGTTGTGTTCAGAAGTTTTTGTTGAGTTGCTTGGAAGGGACCAACCTGCACAGGTTTGTACTGACACTTCTCAACATATTTGTCAACAGCCGCCTGAACCCATTTGGACTCATTATTGCCCTGGATGAACAAGGACAAGCTTCTGGATCTCTCTTCTGGGATGATGGTGATTCCATTGGTAAGCCTGTCCCCTGCTGTGAAGCAGTACCTGCATACAGGGCTCTCCTCAGGCCACCTTTCAGCAGCATAATGGCACTGGCTCCTGCTAGAAATAGCTGGAGAACTGACCCCAAAATTAGCAGTAGCAAGTTGAACATTAGCCAGGCACTGGCAGCCAGGAGGGCCACCCATGTCCTGGGGGCATCAGGCACAGCATCACCAGCTGGGCAAAGGGAGGGGATTGTCCTGCTCTGCTCTGCTCGAGGCGGCCTCGAGTGCTGGGGGCAGTTTTGGGAACCTCAATATAGAAAAGACATTAAACTATTGGAGAGCATCTAAAGGAGGGCAACAAAGATGGTGAAGGATTTTGAGGAGAAGCCGTATGATGAGTGGCTGAGGTCACTTGGTCTGTTCAGCCTGGAGGAGACTGAGGGGAGACCTCACTGCAGTTACAACTTCCTCATGAGGGGAAGAGGAGGGACAGGCACTGATCTCTTCTCTGTGGTGACAGTGACAGGACCTGAGGGAGTGGCCTGAAGTTGTGTCAGGGGACGTTTATGTTGGATATCAGAAAAAGTTTCTTCACCCAGAGAGTGGTTGGGCACTGGAACAGCTCCCCAGGGAAGCAGTCACAGCACCAAACCTGACAGAGTTCTAGAAGTGTTTGGGCTATGCTTTCAGGCAAATGGTGTGACTCTTGCAGATGGTGCTGTGCAGGGCCAGGAGTTGGACTTGATCATCCTTGAGGGTCCTTTCTTAGTCATCTTACTCTGTGATTCTGTGAAGGTACAAAGCTGATTGCAGTTGAAGTCAGTGCTTTTATATGAGAAATGTGTGACACTAGGAGCAGCTGATCTGCTAGAGAGGACAATATCTCACATTGTGTTCTCCTGAGATCAACCTAAGACTAGAGGAAGAGATTAAATAGCCCACAAATCATCTTAGTCTGACCTTAGCCACTTGCTACAGTAATGTGAACTGCTTATGGATTTTGCTCCTTGTTTTGATATAAATTCTCCTTGCTTTGTGTTTCAACAGATACTATTGAAAAAGAGAACTACTTCTTGGCTAAATACACATTCAGCAAAGTAAGTGGCAACATACAAGATACCTACTTACATATAGGTAGCTGTATTTTAGTTTAGCCATTGTAAGGTGCTGATGTTTCTCTTCTAGCTCAGTCTATAAACCAGGTAACCTACCTAATGCTTTCATTTCCAGCTAGCTACAAAATAGTCCAACTATGGGATCATAGTTTTATGTCTGCTCCATTGAGTATCGTAGTGACATGTGTCATTAATGTCCCTGCTGCAATACAAATCTGAAAAAATCCCAGATTTTCAACTTTTTTTTTCCCTTAGTTGCAGCTTCTGGGGACAAGGGACCTTTCTCTTGGGTTCCACTTTCAGTCAGATGGGTGGGAGAAAGCTAGATTCCTCTCTTCAGGATATTCCAGCAACCTTTTAACTTTGATCACTTGATGTTTTTGTTTTGTGGTGCAGAGAGTTATGTAGTCTCAATTCTTTAGCTTACATTTCCTTGTCTGACAGCACAGACACTGCTCCCATGGTGGGTGTCCTGTGGAGTGATCCAGCATGCTTCTGGCAACCCACTGTGCTGATCAGATGCTCTGTGCAGCACAGAAACAGATTAGCTCAGGATCAGTGCACTGATGCCTTTCACACAGTGCTCAGTTCTGTGAAGACATGTCCTGAGAAAGACCTATAGAAAAGCCCAACAGTCAAGGCTTCAATTGAGTAAAATACTGTGAAATATGTCTACCATAAGCTCATTAAGTATATGATAGTAAGTTGTGGGAGTTATTGTTAAAAAACCTTACCCTACTTCAATAACCTGTCTCTACAGATCTTATTTCATCTGCAATTCTAGCATTTGTAATAAATAGGATATTGTATATAGACTATGACATGGTTTGGTCCCCATCCTTCTGAACGTGAGCCAGCATGTGCCCAAGTGGCCAAGAAGGCCAAGGGCATCCTGGCTTGTATCAGAAATATACAGGACTGGGGCAATGACTGTACCTCTGTACTTGTCACTGGTGAGGCCACACCTCAGATCCTGTGTTCAGAGAAGGGCAGAGAAGCTGGTGGAGGGTCTGGAGTACAAATCATATGAGGAGCTGGGGGTGTTTGGCCTGGAGTAAAGGAGGCTCAGGAGAGACCTTGTTGCTATCCATAACTGTGTGAAAGGAGGGTGAGCCAGATGGGGGTCAGTCTCTTCTTCCAAGTAACAAGTGGTAGGACCAGAGGCCTCAGGTTACATCAGCACAGGATTAGATTCCACATTAGGAAAAGTTTCTTCATTGAAAGGGTTATCAAGTCCCAGAGCAGGCTGCTCAGAGAAGTGGTAAAGTCATCATCCCTGGAGGTATTTAAAAGATGTGTAGATGTGGCCCTTAGGGACATGGTTTACTGGTGGACTTGGCAGTGCTGGGTTAATAGTTGAACTTGATAACTTTAAAGGTATTTTCCAGCCTAAATGATTACATGATTTTCATGTATTCCTAAAAGTCCAAAAGTAATCTACAGAAAACAGTCAGAACAATAAAATCGTGTTAACCCCTATTGTGATATTACTCTTAGAAGATCTGTCTTCCAAGAACAAGAGCAATCCAGGGTAAGCCAATGGGCTTTATTATGTAGCCTGGCATGTTCGTGAGATATTTTCCTGGAACTAACACTACATGGGTTGACTTCAAATTTAATTTTAACTTATTTTGTTCTTGATTTACCAAGAAAAAAATATTCTTTCTTTTTCAGAAAAAAAGGGTATTTCAGCAGCAAAAAGGAAGAAAAATCTCTTTGGTTTTGTGTAGTCTGTGTATAGTAATTTATTGCAGTAAGGCTACAGAAAAACAATATCCAGTTTTATATTAAATTTTGAGCTGGGCAAATTAGATTGTTGCTTCTCTGGCACTTCCATTTCTCATTGCTCATATTTGACTTCTGCCTGTAAATCCATGACTGAATTCCCTATCTGCATTCCAGTAATCTTTAATGTTGAGTTTTTATTATGTGTTTATAAAGAAAACCGTCAATCTTAAATAGCAATTTGAAGTATGAGAAATGTATGAAGGTCTTAGTATTTATTGCACATTTCTATATTTTTTAAAAATGTGGAAGAATAATTTAATCACGCCTAGTTTTAGGAGAACACTCAAGTTTTGTTCCCTGAGAGATTTGCTGGTAAGGTCTGACATTACAGCATTTACTCTGAACCAGCATGGGGTGTTGCAGAAGTAACAGCTACAGGATTAGACCCTTTAATTTATATTTTCATTTAAAGAACTCAAAAGTGTAAAGAAGAATTCAAGACTAGGGCAGGCACTTAATCCTCAGAAAATGATTCAAGCTCTGTGGTGCTGTCTCACTGCAGTTGGCATTTTAATTCCCTTGACATATCCCTTCCAATATGCATAGTGAATAAGTGACCTAAGTCAAAGAGCCCCCTTACATGAAGCCCACCAGGCTAGAAGAATACTTGATCCACCTGTATAAGATCCACTGTGCTTCAGGGATGAGCAGGGAGGTCCTGATCCCCAGGGGTGGCAGACAAGGCAGGTATGCTCAGCCTGTACCAGGCGGGTCCACACTGTAATAAAGGGATGGGGATGGAAGGGTTGTCCAATAAAATGGAATCTTCTGAAAGGATGCTTTAGGCACTAAATGACTGGATGGCCTGAAGGGAAGTTTCTCCTAAAACTGGTCCAATATTCAGGATGAAAATGTAGGGAGGAAAAAAGGGGAAGTTGATAGGATCAGAGCAACATGGTAAGAAGAAAACTCCTGACCCTTTTTGCTCAGAGTACAGAAACCCTGGCTCCTGGCATCAGATCAAGGGCTTCATGTTGCTTTGCATTTACATGGTTTTGAGTGATACCCATAACTGCCTCAAACAAGAAGTCAGGACCTTCCTGGGCAATTGCTTTAACCATTAGATGCCTGGGGAGGAGCAGGTCACATCCATCCTGACCATCCTGTTGCCCTGTGCAGGGCAGGGAATTGGACTCCATGATCCTTATGAGTCCTTTCCAAGTCAGCATATTCTGTGATTCTGCTTCCCCAAGACCTCCAGTTCTAGACCTTGGTCAGGGAAAATTGTGTCTGCTGAAGAGTCCTGTCTTGGGCCTCTGAGCTTGAGAGCCGAGTTCAACATTACATTGTGCTTCCTGGGCCTGTGTGGCCACCTGAGCTGGCTGTCCTGCTTAGCCACACCTGAGACAGCAGTAAAACACCATAGGGAGGTGCTCTCTAAACTGAGCCTCCCTCTCTGCTGGAGCTCTGCCAGAGGGAATAAGACATCACATGTAAGAGGTACCCTGAAAAATTCTCTGGAGGCTTTTGCAGGCCTCTCCCCTTTTGCTAAATAATAGCCAACTCCTTATTTAGGCAGTTTAAATCAGTGTGCTGGGGCTTAGCACTTATTTTTAGTGTGGATGCCTGAAATAAGCAGTCTAAGCACAGCCCTAAGTTACATATACTGTGATCTAGCTCCTGCTCCCCTCCTACAATGCACTACTGAAATAACATAAGCTAATTTATGCAAAAGGTTCCATCATGGGTTTCTCCTCGGCATATTTTTAAAAAGTCATGATTGCATAGCCATCCATCATTTCCTGAGCAGTGTAATTCATCTTTATTTCCTCAACAACTTTGATCACATAAAAAATGCGATGATTCCTTCATTGCATGTATGGGAAATTACTGTCACTGGTGATCCAAATGAATTGGCTTAATGACTTTGTATGTCCTCTTGGCACACCCCTAAATATGGGATGTATAGTAAATAAAAAGTACAGCAAACAAAGCTCTGTGGACATACAATGCTCCTTTAGTCGCCTTAAAGCTGGGACATATATAACAGGGATTTCTAGCAGGAGATGTGGTACATTAAATAGGGGCAAAACATCTAGCAGCTGCTGTTTGTGGAAGATACTAGTGTTTTAAAGCAGCTAGTTTTGGATGTTAATTAAATCTGTCTTAAGGTCACTAACTGAATCTCTGTATCTGGATTTTGGCTTTGCATATGCTACTGTGCTCTGTAATGGGTACAAGAACAAAATTCACATTGATTAAAAGTAGAAAAACATGTCTTCTTGGACATGTTTTTCTAAATCCGATTAATGCTGTAAATGTGATTTACTTTCTTAGTTTATAATCATACACAAAACCTTTCTTATGTACAAATTAATGTGACTGTTGTTTTTTCCTTTATGACTTCAATGTCTACATTGGAAGACATTGTGTATGTTCATTGACAAGCATGAAACCTTCTAAGTGTGCAGCAAGTCACCTCTAAAGAGCTGTCATGGTCCTAAAGTTTTCTCTGTGGATTTTTCCAGGGAAGCCTGAAGACTGAAATAGTTAAAAATGGCTACCGTGGAGCTGACACTCTGAAGTACAACAAAATTACCGTTCTTGGCCTGAAACTGAGACCTCAGGCTGTGTCTCTGAATGGAAGATCCATCCGTGGAGATGCTTTGACTTACGAGATGAGTGGGGTAAGACCTGAACTGAGAGGTTAAGAAAAAACTTAGGGAAAGGAGGGTGAAGAAGAGTGAAGAGAGATGAAGTCAGTGAAGGACAGGAACTGTTTCTCATCCACCCCTTCACATTTTGAAGTGTAACCAGACACCCATTCTTGATACAACAGTCTGACATTTAGGAGAGGGGAAAAAATAGCAAAAACAAGAGCTCTTTTAGGAATCTTTAAACTTTGCTTATGCATATGCACTCTCTTTTACTTAATGTCTGCCACTTACACAAATTTTTAAACACTGAAATACTGGAAAGAAGATACAGGTCCATGAGCTGAGGGCACAGTTAGCAGTTTTATGGGCATTCTTATCATTCTGATAAAATGAGAAAACTTGTCAGAGTTTTTTATCTACTGCTGAAAAGAAGCATTGTGGATTTTTTTCTCATGATTACTTGGTGTCCAAAAATTATTCCAGTGTCGTTGGCTCTAAGGAGCATGTCCCTGTCTTCCAAAGAGGTGTAATTTCAGCATCTTAAAGTGCTAAGCCTCAGTGTTCCAGGACAAAATGCATGACTTCCTTGTGCAGTGCTCCTCTGGCACCAACGTGGGGACATTCCAGAGGGGATGGACTGAACACCCCTGATAAACCCTAAGTGGCAACAGCCTCTGTGATCCCGATTTTCTTTTGCACAGCAGTATAGACAAAAGGAGCAAAACCTTTGGCTTCCTTTCTTCTGGCCACTTGTCCCACATCTGTCACCAGCCACCAAGCTGAAGTGCTCATTCACACTCTGTATGAAATGTGTACTCACATCTTAGCACTGGTTGCATCTAGAGAACTCCTGGTGTTAACACTGCAAAATGCCACTAAATCATCATGCAGTGAAAGATAACTGAGGCAACAAGTAGTCACACCTTATGTTACCCTACCCACTTGGCTTAGTGCTTAAGTTTCATTTGTAACCAAAGAGTGATCCCCTTTATACATACCTGGTACTACCATTTATTTTATTGAAGGAATCTGTAAAGGAATAAAATTGCTGAGAATAAATTTCTCCCTTGGAGAATTGTAAAAATTTCACTTTCAGAGACAATGTCATAAATAAACATAATCAATATTGACTCAGGGGAAGAAATTGTTTAACAGCCTCTAAGCAAGCTGAAAGCAACATAAATGTGGCAGGGTAAAGAAAACATTCCATTGAGACGTGCTTGAAAGTACCAATTACAGATGTCCAGAAGATAACTGCAGATTAAGAGCCTCACATACAAAGATGATTTTAAAAGACTAATAAGCTTGTCTCAAAAATATAATTTAAAATTTGATTTAAGAGCAAAATACCATCTTGGTGACTTAAGATCTACTTCAAATACTGGAGGAAAAAACCCACCAAGCTGATGTTGTAGGGATCCAAAACTACAAAAAAGTTAAATTTTCTACACCAGCTAAATACATTCCACTCTGAGAGGAATTCTGAGAGATTTAGTCAAACCTCTCCCACCATCCCTGTACAGAGGTTACAATGTCACTACCTATATTCCTCTCACATTTGACCCTCTAATAAAAAAATAAATAAATAAATGAAGAACACTAGCAGCAGCTTGGGTTTAGATCTTGAAAACTTATGCATGCAATTAAAAAATAAGTTGCAAAGGAAAAATTTGCCACTTTCTTACAGGCTTAGTGAGATTACATTTGGTATAATAGTTTTACAAGCAGAGACCCCACTGTTTAAAGGGCTGCAGTAGAAAGTAACTTCTACCATATTGGTTTTGAAAGCATATTTTTTTGAAAGCAACTTTACCTAATAGCACTGCTGAAGTGCTTATTGAGCCATATTTATTTGTATATAAATAGAAACAGGTTGCTTAGTAATAAGCCACTTCTTTCTCTCTGATTCATGCAGCGCTACCCTGGTCTGACATTTGCAATATCACAGAATCTTCCTATTATTAGGAGTCTGTTATCTGTTTTTTCCTCTGGAGTCTCATGCCTTAAGGAATTGTACAGTGACTGCAGCAGGGATGTTAGAAGGGGACATCTGTTGGCCAGGCTGGTGCTGACAATGGGCATAGGGAATGGTCTTTTTATCCCACTTACGTTCTCTGCTGGGAAGTGCAGAGGCTCCCAACATCCATAGCTCCCAATGTCCATGCAGTATTGCAGTTGGGAGAAGCCTCTCTGGCTGCCTGGCAATTTTCAGGTTGGTGTTTGGATGGGTTTGCAGTACTTTTGTCTGGATTTTTCCCTGTATTTGAAGAAAAGGCAAATTATTCAAGAAGTGGAATTCCAACTCACTAAGCAGTAGTAGAGAACTGTTTCTGATGAAAGATGAAAATATTAGATACTTTGAAGAAGTGATTTAAGTAAGCACAGACTGTTAATGTTAACAAGAATTTGTGGGCTGGCAAAGAGCTGTGAATGGATATTGTGCATTTTAAGAGACTATTAATTCTGAAACCTAAGGATAAAACTGGTGAAGTACTGAAAATAGAAATTACGTGAGTAGCCCAAAATACACTAAATTTAACACTGAACAGGGAGAGAGCAGGACAGATATTGTATTTACAATTTAATATTTAATTAATGTAATTAATTAATTTTAAACCATTCCTGAATTTCTAAAAGGGATGTTGAATTGGATACAGCAGTAGGAAGATGCATACTGTCATCAAGTTAGTCTCACCTGCTAGATATGTAAAGAAATCATGAAGTCTCAAGTCTCACTTCTTAATCTCTGTTTTGAACTGTTTTTGGGGGTTTTTACATTAACAAAATTCATTATTTTTTGTCTCTTTTTTCCACAGAAACTGGTTCTGCGTATTTCTGCTCCACTTACTAAGGAACTCAACATTAAGTTATACTAGAATGGTCAGAACACACTGACTTAATTTGGCATTCTTAGCCCTCAGATATTTATCTCACTTTGATTTTAATGTAAAAAAAAATGCGTCATTAAAACATTGCATATGAACCTGGTGACTGATGACTGATCTTTTTTTATGTAGTATTTGTAACTCAGGAGTTCTATAAAAAATTTAAAAATTCCAAATAAAAAATTCAATAGCAGTTAGTATTAAACATAAACTAATGTGTGTTCAAAATAGCATAGAAGAAATCATCCTGAAAAATCTGTCTCACCACAAATGGAGATAATATTTGGAAATGTTCTCAATGGGACCATATTCTACACAGCATACACTGTTTGGCTTTTTTCAAAGCTATGGTAGGGAAGAAAAAAAGGAACAACCAATTAATTTCCATAGCCCTATACATAGCCTGCCATTAATATAATATGCAATACATATAATATATCGTCTAATAAATATTAGTATAATAGTATATTAATTATTATATAGTCATATCTAAAAAATCAGCCCATTGTCTCAGACTACAAGATATGCAACTGTAGTGAACACTCACTTTTTCTCTGCATCCTGAAATGCGATTGCAGCCTGGGCATGTCTCTCTCAAAGTGAGCTGGGTCTTGTGGAGGAACCTTAAGACTTGGCTCTCTCCAGAGTCTGTGCTGGTTGCAGTAAGGTCTGATGTGAGATGTTTTCTCTGCGCTGTGCAGAGCAAACTAACTTGCACATCAGCTTTTTTGTGGGAAGAAGCTGGAGAAAATAAGATAATACAAAAAGGTGTAGCTGAAGATTGCGCTGTGCAGAGCAAACTAACTTGCACATCAGCTTTTTTGAGGCTGGAGAAAATAAGATACTACAAAAAGGTGTAGCTGAAGAAGGTGAGAAAGGGCTGAGGAAGAGCAGAATATGGGCAGTGGGGTAAAGGAGGATTCAAGGTGACAGATGAACTGATCATCTTCATTGCTGTAGAATACAGCACCTGACTACAGTCCTTGATGAAGTAAACACTTGAAAAGTGTGCCACTCTGAGTCTGGGGACTCTGCAAATGAGGTGCTTGTGCAGAGGAATGATATTAGCAGGGTTTGTGAGAGCTGTGTATTTGGGACAGAGGAAAGCAGGAGAACCTCTGTTGGAGCAGACACCATCAGCAGGCAGACAGACAGAGCACAAACCTGAGGAACAGCAGAGGCCCTGAGGATGTGTCTGCTCTGTGTCATGGCTCTGCACTAGAGATCCCAGAGCAGGGAAACCAGCAGGGGCTCCAGCAGCACAGGAAGTGCTGGTCCAGAGGCTGCTGGCCACAGACATTGTCCTGGGCTTGGCCACACTGCCAGTCATCCTCTCGTGCTGCCGGTGAGAGCCCCATGCCTGCTCACCCCAAGCACGTTGCAGACATAAAGAGAAAACTCCTGCATGGCTTGAAAATGTGGGATGGATGGGGACCAGTAAAGCAGACTGTGCAGTCTGTGCAGAACCCAATCTCCTCCATGTGTTTTTGCAGCAATGGCACCAAAGAGGTACCTGCTCTCAATTTTCCTCCAAATGTGAGGATGTTACTTCTTCACCATGGCAAAAGAGCAAAGAAAGTGAGCAAGAAACCAGTGTATTAGAGAAAGCAAATTTGTAAACACCCTGGCCTGGACTGGGGAACAGAATTTGGTTGGTTTGAGCGGGTCTCTTTTTTGTTCAGTGGGTTTCTCTCTAATCTGCCTTACAGTGTGAGTAAAAACAGGACTGGGAGAAGGGAGGTGGTGAATTCGCTGACAAATGGTGAAAAAGGAGACTGGTGTGGAAACTGGAGATGTGACTGGAGAGCAATGGAGATGTTGGAGATGTCACTTCTGTAAAGAGCTCTTTGATAGATAAACAGGTGGAGTCAGCCAGTGCTCACAAGTTTTCTGTGAAATCAGTGGCTAAGCTGGCACTTGCAGATATATCTTAGTAAAATAAGTGGAGAAAAATACACTCCTACCATCATCAATATGCTGTTCATGCTTGTACTACAACCTGGATTTTATTCCTTTCTTGTTATTTTGTGCCTTGTAGCTTCAGTGAACACAACAGGAAATCACTAGTCAGTAATAGATCTGCCTTGGGCTCTGATTTCACATATTTATTTCATAAATGTAAGCAAGACAGCCCTTGGTCAGCAT